AAATAAAATAAAATAAAATAAAAAAATTGAATTAATATTTATACCAACATTACAATATTTCGATTCTCCTTATTTGAAATAGTTAAATTTTATGTCATATGTTTTTCAGTGGAAAAAGTTAAATTATTTATTAAAGTACATTTTTAAAAGCATTACTTATAAATGTTGCCATGATTTTCCTTGATACATGTTTAAAATCCTATTTCCAAAGAAGAATTTTCGAAATATTCACTTCTTTAGTTATGCCTCGTATAAATTTCTATATTGCATGCTAAACGGTATCCTAGAAGGCGATTAACTCAGAAGTTACCACAGTTAACTATAGCATAACTCTAAAATATAGAAAAAGTTTACTACCTCTATTGTGAATGAAAGATATTCAATACTCACAGCTGTTTTTCAATTTAACGAAAGCAAAGATCTTTTGTACAGCGACGTGCAAACGCATACCTTGCAATAGCCGTCTCTTCCTAGAGTGGAAAGCAAGTTCTCACGTTATTGTTGGACTTTTGATTTTTTTAACTTTACATCTCAAAATGCTGCTTTGTTGAGCTTTGAAAGCTTTCTTTAATCCTGATGTTATGCATCTTTACCACATCACATGTCACAAGTACTGTTCTTTCCATACTTTCATATATAAATGAGGGCTTTACTTTTCTAGAAAAAAGTAAGACGGTAATCAATTGGTACGACGTACGGGTTATAAGATGGAAAAACCTCCCAACCAAGCTTTCAGAGCTTCTGTCGAGTCTCTATCGATATCGTCCGACGTTGCCCCCAATTCCCCTCCTGTTGACCAAAGCTGGGCGCTGTGAGTGATTGCTTTCTTCATACGATTCAATTGCTGATAGCACAGTTACGAATTAATCCCGCCAAAAATACATCAAAATCTTCCTGGCTTGGAGAACGTTTGTGCCGGCTCGCTGCCTTTCTACCAAGACCGCTTGCCACTGTTGTAAATAATACACTCTTTTCGCACTATTCACCATCCGTTTAGAAATCGATCGGTTTTGATACGATTCAGGTATAAAGACTTTCTCATTACCGTTTTCTCCACTATTATTATGATGACTGAGGTAGGCACATTCCCGTTCTGGCCAGACAAAATCAAAAAAATAAATGTCTGTAATAATTGCGAAAAGACCAAGGTTCTGCCAGGCCGTTTTTATATTAACAATTTTAGATCACCCTAACAAACATGTAAATGTTTTAACACTGAATTATTTTCTCTGCCATCTGCTCGATACTATTTTACCAGTATGTATACACACAAAAGTTCCTATGTTTGCATTAATATGTAAACTGTTGACGGTGGGGCTTAAGTGGGCGATATGAGCACGGGGAGTTGGCAGGCAAGTGAATACCCAGCATACAGCTCAGAAGTGAACATGAAATCGGGAAAAATTGGAAGTAATGTCTTGCCAGTAAGCGAATAAGAGCTTCAGAGAAGTCTTCCTCTGTAGTATAGATTGCCCTCCACTCAATTGAAGCGGGCTTGTCTGTACAGATATTATATTTAACATAGACCCACAAAAAATAATGAAAAGGCGGTAAATCTAGGCGGCCAATTGACCGGTCCCGAACGTGAAATAAAGTGTTCACCGAACTCGCCTCTCAATAAGTCAATAGTTACGCATGCTGTGTGGCATATGGCACCGTCTTGTTATCAGTCAAGCTTTTGCATTTTGGGCAAATACAAATTCACGGTGACATTACAATTCGCATCATCTTTTATTAATTACGGTCAAATGAGGACACCAGCCCATAAACCGCACCAAACCGTGACGTTTTCTGGATGTATTAGTAGCTTTTGCAATGCTTCTGACTGACCTTCACTCCAAAATCAAATATTCTGCTTGTTTACGCACCCAAAAATGTCGCTGAACACTATTTTTCGATAAAAAAAAGTGGAAATTCGGCCAACTTTCCAAGAGCCTATTCACCAAAAATTCTGCGTTTCCGTAGAGGTCGTTCGGCTTCAATTCTTGCACCAGCTATATTTTGAAAGGCTTCACACATAAATCCTTCCACAAAATTTTCTACGTTGCTGAGTAACAAAGGCCCAACTGCTGCGCACGACGATAAATCGATAATTGATGTCACCATTAAGCGTGTTGGTGGTTTAATGTCCAACAATGTAAAAAATAACAGCGAAATATAGTCACTGTAGCCCGAATAGCCGCTTCGCAGGCCTATTCTCACTGTTACCGGTAAAGTAGATAGCTGAACGAATACGTTATCTTACAAGTAAAAAAGCTATTTTTTAGTCTCGAAAACTTCTTAAAATACGGTTTTTTGTACTTTTTTCTTCATCTTTAATGAATTCCAGGCCTTAAACATGCCTACCCATTTTGGTTTTTTTATTTTTTCTCAAACTTATAACTCAAAATCAAAATCAGTTCTGTTTGTTATCTCCTATTTCGCTGATAACAAAATTTACAGGGTAACAGTGAGCTCAGAATACGAAATACAAAAAAATACAAAATTTACTGAATGGTAAATTTTAATACCTAGTTAAATTTTGTTACCTCGACAGAATAGGCCTGTCAGTGGGTCGATTAAACTGACTATAAAATGGAAGAAGCGCGTGAATTTTCTTAACAGAGCACGCATTTTGATAATAAAATTCAATAATTTGCAAGCTTTTTTCTTTTGTAAGACGTTTCATGGTTAACACTAAAGATGTTTGACAGTGATACAAAACACGAAACGTGAGTTAGCTGTTTAAACCAGTGTTGCCAAAAAGATGATAGCTAAAAAATCGCCCTTTACTATGGGGACGAGAACGCAGATTTATGGAAAATTAAAATTTGCTTTTGTATGCATGCAAAAAGTTAAAGGCAACGGATATTTTGTAATTTTTATAATATGTAGTTAGAGCTTTCTTTAATTAAAAATGAAATTATAAAATGTTTCCATCATTCCAAAGTAAGGTATTTAAGAATCGCTTATTTATTGAAAGGCATAAATTTTATTTTTTCCGGTCGTTGTGAAATAGTAGACTAGAGCTTAATCACAATTATTCTATTCGGATCTCAATACCTCAGTATTGAATTTATCTTGCACTCTACGGATTAACGAGCAAGAAATTATGACTAAGTCAACTCATACATGGAAGAACTAATAAAGCATTTTTACACTGTACGTTTGGATGCCATAAATTGAAAATACGATGGTTTTGACGGAACCAAATACCGAAAAATTCAAATATTCCACTTTGTGTTTAAAAGTAAAGCTGTAATAGATGAGTGACTATTAGTGCGTGTACCCGGAAGGTAAGGAGTTAGGGTATAAAATAAAGTTAATCGGCAAGTGCTCTTAGACCCTACGATTATATTTCTAAGAAGAAATAAAAGTTACTTATATACGAGTATATATACGATACAGTAAGTTGGTTAAAGAAACTCTTAAATTTGTTTATCAGCACCGTGCGCTATGAGAAAAAATCCATAATTTCTTAACATGAATAATTGAATATAATACCAATTTCTAATTCGAGTTTAATTAAATTTGCAAATAGAAAATGAACAAATTTCATTTACATACACATTATCTTATGAAAAACTTCAGTTTTAATTATGTTTCATGAAAAATTATTATTATTTTTTTTTTTTTACAAACCAAAAATGCAAGCCAAAACTTCTGAATTTCCTTCGCACAGTATTAGCCAATCAATTATTATAAGTCTTCTTACTTCTTATTGATTTCAAAAATGCTATTCTCTCAAAAATTCCAAGTCAATCAAATTGATATGCTATTTTCAGAATATTGTATTTTTTGCAAGAATAGAAATACTTTAAATGCCTTGGCCGAAAATTTTCTTGGAAAAACAACAACCTCAACAACCTGTATATACATGTATGCAGCGGTTTGCGCTTAAACGGAGTGAAAGGTGAATTCTTATTCAAAATAGATACGTGTGTTTATCTCTATTTAATGCATTGAAATGCAACTGTCAGCAATCTGATTGACGGTTAAGAAATTTGGCGAAGCGATGGTTACCATACATATTGATAAATATATAACCTAAGGAATGCAAATGTATGTGCTGTGTGAAGTGTAAGTTGAACGCATCTTAACAACTAGAGACCAAAAATTTAAGAATTAATGCATGTAATTTTAGCATTATATTGTTGGATATTTTTTACCAGAGATATAAATATCCACAATTATTCTCGCTAATTTTTTGCCATTTTGAAGATAATGTCATTATGCCTCTCTCCTCTCATGGAAACTCTTGTTCCTTTTGGCGGAAAATTGGGACAATCGATTTTCCCAAGCCAATTCTTCATCTGCCAAATCATTCGCCAAATACAGGAACAGATGGTTAGCACTTGGTGCCTGGTATAGACAATAAGGTCCCAACCAAGCACAGAAAAGACGTTCCTGACTATTAATGCGTGCTTAGAGACCGCTTTTGCCGGTTCACTGCTCTTTGACCAAGACTGCTGTCATTTGACGTTCCTGCAAATGATTAACTTTCATCACCAGCATCAGGATCATATCTTCTTTTTTTTGAAACGCTTAGCTATTGGGCCATCAAAATAATGCTCCCATGGCGGTTAGACTCGACAATTTTCAATATATTATCGATATTTTCGATAATTGATATTCCACACCGTGGAACATCTCATTAATAAAAATTTTCCGATCGAAATTGGCGAAAGTCGAAAAGATCAAACAACAAAGACGGTTTGTTAGTAAAGTATATAATCCTCCCTTAAACAAATTTTCCAATAATTCTATAATCTTGGATACTTGGTCAGACCAAGACTTAGGACTTAAGAATTAAGAATTAAAAATTAAGAATAAAGAATTAAGAATTAAGAATTAAGAATTAAGAATTAAGAATTAAGAATTAAGAATTAAGAAGAATTAAGAATTAAGAATTAAGAATTAAGAAATACGAATTAAGAATTAAGAATAACATGACATACCCTCAAAGTCATTTAGTGTGTGACTTTGAAACTAGTTTCATCTCATTTACTTTTCTCTTGCAGGCTCCACAAATCAATGCCGGAAGATTCATCATCAAACGAAACAAAAACTCTTTCAACTTTGACACAAACGACATTTGTTCAGGCAAAAGACAAACACCGAAACAATTGTACACTTTCTCGAAAGAAAGGAAATAGTGAAGAGCAAAAAGAAATAACACAAGTTGGTCGTTAAGCTCCACACAAAAGCATCGGTTTCAGTTAAACAATACTATCTCTTCTATCAGCTATCATTCAACCAAGTTATCGCCCTTTTCCTCGCCAGCGGCAGGCTTAAAGCGCCATCAGAGAAGTTTTGTCGTCATGTGTGCGAAATGTCTTGCACACACAACTGTCATTAAATGACAAATGGTTGACATCATCACTCACTTCCGAAGCCGGTTGCAAAAACAACAGAGACAACCGCTAGAAAAAGAGAGTAAAACTGTAAATAAAATTAAGAAGAGAAAGAAGATACATATAAAGGAATCACTATCTCTTTGGCGTAAAGGAAAAACTCTCATCAAGTGTACTGGTGACGGCATGGCCATAAGCCGGGGGCGCGGCAATCGCACGCACTCTTGGTTTTTGCTTAAGGACTCGGTGATACTTGTACTTGCGATGTGCATATTACAGCTGCTGCAGGCGCATGCCTTAAGTAAACTAATAATAAGCGCAGAGATGTTGCCGGTGAGCAAAGGCGACGCCGTGATTGTCGAGCGTGAGCGCAAACCCAGCACCGTCAGTACGACAAATAACAATGCAATAAAAGAAGTAGAGAATGAAACGAAGAAGTTTTTAGAAGAAATTATTTTAAGTAAGAATTTAATAGAGGAAACCAAAGACGCGGCTCGAGAGGAGCCTGCGAACGCCGTCAACAGTATTAGTTTTGACAAGATTAGTAATAAATATTGTAATAACAATAGTAGTGGTAAGGACAATAGAAATGAAAGTGGCAATAACAAGACAAACAATACATCAAGCTCAAGGGACTCGATCCTCGTGTCGAGTAGCGAGCATAGATTAAGCAGCCAAACAGTTGCTAAACCCACAACGTCCAGCGAAGTTGTGGAACTTACGCCGAGTAGCAATGAAACTGCCAACGGTAGTCAATCCGCGCCACAGTACAAAACAAACATACACAATAATACGTTACGCATCCTAGCCATGGCCACCATGGCTAATCAGCCTGCAACACCACATACGCGCGGTTCTAATTTTACAACTATTAATGTCACAGACACCATCAGCGACCGTCACATGGCTATATCGATGCCTGAACTAATACGAGAAAACGTTGTGCTGCCATCGGTGGATCCAGAAAAGGAAGCACAGTTGTTGTATGAGCAAACTCTACTGGAGTATCATGGCAGTGTGCGAGCTGCGGCGGAGGCGGCGGCTGCAGCTGCCACAAATAATGCGCCTTTGTCGACAGTGGATACCTCATTGGCGAATGGTGGGCAGGCGTCATTTGCGGCTGCCGAAATCGCTGAACGACAACCACGCACACTGCACAGCGTGTGTGAAATGTGGACGCAGAAGCACTGCCATTGTACGGGCACATTGGAGCGTCTGTCTTTAAGTTGTCGTAATATCGGCGTGGTTGCGCCGCCAGTGGAGCTGCCAGATTTTGTTGTATCATTGTGAGTAAACCATTAGAGATTTTAGAAATTTAAAATAAATAACCCTTTTGTTTGGTTTCTTTTTTATATATATGTATGCAGAGATTTAGGAAACAACAATATAACCACACTCGAGGCTAACACATTTTTCATGGTACCAAACCTCGAAGAGCTGTAAGTACGCCTTTTTATCTTCTATTTCTTGTACTCGAGAACAGTCGAGAATAGGATAATTTGCGAGTTGTAAAAAACCAGGATAGTTTAAAGAAAATTTAGAGATGATTTCACTGGCTGGCGATTCTGTAAACTTGTGAAATCATGAAGTGGCCGTAAGTTTCGAAAACCACACAATGACTTGACATAATCCTGCACATTAGTTTCAAACTCAACTTGAAATCGAAGATGCGATCTTCATAGTGAAGAAATTAGTTTTATGGTTGCGATATGAAGCCTAATGCGGAAAAATAATTGGTAATCCCTTCTGACTATTCCGATGCAATACATGACTGTCTGAATCATAAAAATAAACAAAAACCTTCAGAAAACAATTGTCTAGCAGTGGTTATGATAACTTCCCAGGCAAGTATCACCCGATCTTGAGGTAGACTGGTGCAATGTTCTCGCCACGTGGAACCTCATGCCCTAATTTTTCTTTCCATAATTGCGAAAATTATATACAGATGATAACCGTTACATTCAACCTTAAAAAAGGATTTATTTATTCATCAATAACTTATATTATCCCCTTCAAAGTTATCACCCTCAGATATAATATACTACACTGTTTCCTATCCTCGAAACACTTCTGAAATGCATTTTTTGGTATCGCCAATAGTTCCTAGTTCGAGTTTTATTTTATCTACTCAATCATAGTAAAACGCTCTCCTATCATCGGTGCCTTCATGTTTGGAAAGAGGGGAAAGTCAGCGGGGCCAAGTCCGTTGAATACAGTGGTTGGGGCATGATAACAGTTTTGTTTTTAGCCAAAAACTCACGCATAAGCATCGATGTGTGAACTGGTGTATTATCTTGGTGCAAAATCAATGGTTGTTTTTTCACAATTCTGTGCGTTTCCGACGAATTACTTCGCGCAAACGGCGCATAACTTCTATTTAGTATTCCTTATTGACCGTACGACCTTGTGGCAAGAATTCATGATGCACCACGCCATTTCAGACGAAGAAACCTTCACATTTGACCGAACTTGACGTGCTCGGGTGACCAGGACGATCATTGCCATTGACATCTTCTCGGCCTTCCTTAAACCGGTTACACCACAATTGAAGATGTGTTCTGCTCATGGTAGACTCGCCAAACGCCGCAGTTCATATTTCAAATGACCATGCGCGTTTAGTTTCCTTTTTTACACAAAACTGAATACAGTTTCTTTGATCCAATTTTTCGAATAGTAAAAAATCGAAGAGCACACCAAAACTTGACAAACCTTTTTATCTGTCAAAAACAAACTGAAAATCCAAAATGGCTGATCTTGCCAACATATATAACAAACATGTGTACCAATATATTGGGTGTATGCATTAATTCGTGCGGTTTTTTTCGAATAAGACTTTATTGTGAAAAAATTGTTATACATTTAATATTCAAAGTGCTGCCTACCGGAAGCTACGATGTTTGCCCATCTTTCTGACAGTTTGTGGATCCCATCCCAAAAGAGCTTCTCCGGCTTGGAGGTCAAGTGGTAATCGGAAGGTGCTTTGTCTGGGCTATAAGGCGGGTGAGGTACAACTTCCCATCCACAGTTTTCCAAATAGTTTTTTACTGGCCTTACAATATGTGGCCGAGCATTGTCATGATGAAAAATTATTGATTCGTGTCTGTCCGTTTTATCGCAGAGGCCTTTTTTAAACCAATCAATTGTTTTCAGTAGAGGTCCTTATTGATCGTCTGACCCGATTACAATAACCCATAATAGAACACACCCTTGTGATCCCACATACATACCATAACCTTGGCACTATGGGTATTCGGCTTTGCCGTGGCTGTCGATGGTTGGCCGGGCTTCACATACGATTTTCTGCGCTTTGGGTTATCATAATAAATCCAGTTTTCATCGCTAGTTACAAAAATGACTTCTTTTGGTGGCGTTGAAGCAAAATTTCCGACATGCAGAATCGACGTTCGATCTCTCTTGGCTTTAATTCATAAGGCACCCAATTTTCAAGCTTCTGGATGAATCCTAATGATTTTAGTCATCTGGAAAGGGTTGCTTGATCAACTTCTAATACTTTTGCAAGTACTTCTTGAGTCTGGCATGCATCTATTCTTCGTCTTGAATTATTTTGGCTGTCCGGGTCGTTGTCCGTCGTCTAAGTCGAAATTGCCACCTTTGAACCGTGCAAATCACTTTTGGCACGTTCGTTCGGCTAAAGCATGGTCACCATAAACGTCGAGTAAAATTCGATGGCTTTCGGTAGCACTTTTCTTCTTGTTAAAGTAATGAAGAAGAACTCCCCGCAAAAACACTTTATCTGGTACAAATTTCGACATTTTCAAATGAATAAAATATATTGTTGTTCATGCTAAAACAAATGAGAGCTACTGAAAACGACTCGAAATGACAGTACCTTTGAAATGAATATAGCCACTGATGAAAACGACGCGAAATAATATTATACTAGTAGAGCCCTCTCTTAGAAAACCACACGAATTAATGCATACACCCAATAACAGGAAAAAAAGCGAAAGTCAAACACATGTAACTTACGAAATTTGAAACTAATGGATATTTTCTGAATACACCTCGCATATTGTATTAGAAAACCCCGTGAATCGTCAATACTACAACTTTGAGCTGGGATTTAACTCTAGAATTTCTAAAGCTTCCTCTTTAATTAGCTAATTTATGTAAGAAAAATATACATATATTCAAATATTCAAATTAATGTTAAACTCATTTACTCACCGTTCTACCCTCGAGACGTTTTTGTAAGTGTGAAACCCTTGAAAAATATTTCCTGCTCATTTCTTGCCACTATAAACTTTACTTAAACAAATTACTTTATTACCGAATTTTAGCACATTCAACAATTAATTATCCTCATTCTGGCAAGTAAATAAGAGGTGATGAGACAGGAGAATAACATACGTACCCGCGTATGTATGTACATGTACAATTGCGGCCAAAATAATAGCAGTGCTAAGTACGAACAATTCGAAGTGAAGAGTAGAAATGCTGCTCCAACAAATTTCTGCGGTTAATTGGTTGCAAAACTAACTTTTTTTCGGAAAAGATTACTTAAACTTAAAAAGCAGTATTTAAATATTATTTCAAATTAAAAAAAAGAAATATTTGAATAGTAAGTAGTCAAAAAAATAGCGGCAGGTTATAAGGTATAAATCCAAATAGTATTTGGATTAAGACAATTCAAAGCCTAATAGCAACAAAATATTAATGTTTCTTTGAAATATTAAAATAACTCATAAATGTCGTTAGTATTTTGTGGAGTATCCATTGTTGCCTATAACCACACTTATCGTCGAAGCTTTGAAACCACCATTTTGGGTTCTTCAACTGGTATGTAATACCATGCTCGTTCAACCACGCGCCAAAATCGTTACCATTGGTCGGCTTTGTATGCGAAACTGCTTGTTTAATGTTTCACCACAAGTACTCAATATGGGGTCACTCCAAATGCTCTTGCGCGAAGCTAAGACTAATGTGACACTTTTTCTTCAAAGTCACTTCTCGTCTACTCCTACCATATAAATTACTTTCTCTTAAACTTCTTCTAATAGCTGCTACACTCACTTCTATTCTTAATTCTGTCTTCAGTTTCTCAGCTGTTAGCAAACGATTTTTTTTTTCAATTTACTCCATATGACACACTTCGTGAAGTCATAGCGGACTGTATCCACGATTTTCCTTTTCTTAATTAAATTGATTAAATCTCAATTCATTTGAAATCATTTCGGCTGAACAAGCGATCATGTTTTAAAAATAAAACGATTTTCGTGCAAACAATCTTTGCCCTGCTAGAAGCAAAAAATCAGTAATCGTCTATTAATTTTCGTTTATTTTTCTTGAACTAACTTATAATAAAATTATTTTTCCTATAAAGACTTCAAGTGGAACGTATGAACTTATCACGCTAAAATTCATCGAAAGACTGCATTAGTAGGGCTAGTTTAATGAACAATTATTTAAAAAAATATCGTCAGCTCTGCAGAAAAATTGCAGCGTAGCTTTTTTGCACACTCTAAAGCCGACGGTATTTCACAATATTGTAAAAAAATTATGTTTATTTGTATGTATATATCATATTGTACATATACACACACATAGTGTGCTAAGCAATTGCTTTTGCAGCATACTACGCTCGATTTCCTTTACTAAACATTTTTTTTTTTAATTTTTACCTTTTTTTATTTTTCTTGAGGGACTTGAATTTTTCACTTTTATTTTTTTATTCACAGAACTTTATCCGACAATAGCATCATTAATATTGATCCGAATGCATTTTATGGACTTGGTAAATTGAAACGTTTGAACTTGCAAAATTGTGGCCTTAAATCACTGGCAGCGAACACGTTTCAAGGATTGAAGAGCTTAATATCACTGTGAGTAAATTGAGAGGATTAAAATTATTTGCATTTTTATATTTCAGAGCTGGCTACACAACAAAATTTAATGAATAATTTCCATACAAATATATTTTAAAAGACTCTCATAACATTCGGCGCCTAAATGTATGCAAATACCAAGCAGAAGCTTTATAACAACTAATAATTTTGTTAATTATTGCCTTTCTTTTCATTAAACCAAATTGGTTATCGCACACAAAATTATAAATTAAATTTTGCATACAGGCAGTTTAGTAAATGTATTTAATTATCAAATTAGTTTCATGTTATATTTATGTACTTTTTAATTTTTATTTTTGCGCTACTATTGCTGCACTCGCACAAAACTGGACGTGCACCATTATTATAAAAAAAAATAATAACAATAAATGAAATAACATAATACAAAAATTTAAATGAAATGATACAAAATAATTATTAATTTACTATTAAAAATGGTATGAAACGAAATAAAATGATATAACAAAAAAAAATAATAATTAATAAAATAAACTAAAACATAATAATAAAAAAATTTACTTTTTCTTAAATTGCAAAATAAACTTATTAAACAAATAAACAAAAAAGCCAGTTGAACGGCAACGCCTTAGCCAGCATGGACACGGATAGCCTGCAGCATCTGCCAAAAATACGCACGCTACGCCTCGAGGGTAATCTATTTTATCGGATACCTACAAACGCTTTGGCTGGATTAAAGACACTCGAAGCACTGTGAGCTATTACTTACACACTCTCATGCTTACTTATATACATACGTTCATTCTTGTTGATATATACATACATACTTCACCCAATCACTTGGCTCGACTCACGTTTGAATGAATTTATACGCACCAGAGCTTGTTAAGAATTAAGAATTAAGACTTGGCTCGACTCACGTTTGAATGAATTTATACGCACCAGAGCTTGCTAACACTACTTAAATTTATGCGTATTTAAATATATTCCGATTGTTATTCCTAAACTAGATTAAAAGAAATCATATAAAATTTGTTCTTGAAATGCTAAAAATAAATTTTATTAATATATCTATTAATAGAAATATACAGTGTAAGGTAGAAATCAGTATCTTTTGGTTTTCTAAATTATAATCAGGAAAAAAGTTCTCCAAGTACTTTGCGATAGCAAACTAAAACAGTTAAAGAGCAGATCAGTTTTCGATTTTAAATTAATGGAAAAAGTAGAGACAAATTTTACAATTGCATTTGAAAATAAAATAAAAAAAAATTGTTTGATTATAATTAAATTTAAATAAATAAATTCAATGTATGAGTTCAAAATATAATTCTAACAAACAGAAAAAATACACTCTTTATTTTTGAAAGCTTTTTAATATTCTTATTATTGGTTACTAACTTCTTTAAATCTTCACAGTAATCTTGGAAGTAATCTTTTGACAATAATCAACGATGACGATTTTCCACGTATGCCAAATTTGGTTGTGCTGTAAGTATGAAATGAAACAAAACCATTACTTGGACAAATATTCAAATGCGTTAGAATTTACCTTGAAATCTTATTTCTTATTTTATTACTCAGCTGTATTGAAGAATTGAGGTATGTCTTCTACCTTTGACGCAGACATCGCTTACGCGACTGCAGCAGCCATTCAGCCTTCTTTTCGCTGTTTGGCACCGATTTGGATACACCAAATACCGCCAGGTCCTTCTCTACCCAGTCTTTCCGACGGAGTAGGGATCTTCCTTTTACTCCGCTTGCACCTGCGGATACTGTATCGAAAACCTCGAAAGCTGGATTATTATTTTTATACATATTGACCTCATAACCTAGTGAGCGTAGCTGCTGTTTTCTGATTCGCTGAACTACGTAAATGCCGCCTTGTAACTCAAACAACATATTCTCCCATCGGTTGCGTTATTTACCGTTACCAACTCGTGGAGGACCATAGATCGTCTTTCTCTCGAAAACTTTTAAACGCTGACTCGTAAGATGTTGGCATCGTCTATGCCTCCTCACCATATAGCAGGACGTGAATGATGAGGAACTTGTAGAGTTTGGTTTTCGTTCGGCGAGAAAGAACTATATTTTTCAATTTCCTACTCAGCCCCAAGTAGCACCTGTTGGGAAGAGTGATTTCGCGTGGGATTTCCAGGCTGACATTCTTGTTAGCGCTTATACTAGTTCCGATATAGGCGAAATTATGTAGGACTTCAAAGTTATAGCTGTCAACAGTGACATGAGAGCCGAGTAGCTAATGAGATGGCTGCTTGTTTGATGATAAAAGACATTTCGTCTTCCCCTCGTTCACTTTACATAGTCATATAAGCTTTGCGGCGATACACATGGTGAAGATCTGGTCAATGGTTGATATACCAAGTCCAAAGCCACACTGGTACGGTTCATATAGTTTTTTGACGGTGGGCTTTAGTCTTTCACACAATACTTTCGATAGGACCTTATAGGCGATCTTAAGGAGGCTTATCCCACAGTAATTGGTGCAGACTGTTGGGTCCCCACATTGATAACTGTGTCGGGCATGATTTGGTTCGACCATAATCTACAAAGTAGCTGAAGCATGCATCTTGTTGAATAGTTATGCTGGTAAGCCGTTATCTCCACGCTGCTTTGTTGTACTTTATGATGGCGATCTTTTTTCGAATTTCGTCAAAGTTGGGTAACGCAACACCTTTTTCATCATCATCGAAGTGGTTTCGGGTTCAGCAGCTCCAGGTGTTCCTATTTCACTGTCTTTCAGCGGACAGGAGAAGTGCTCCCTCTATAAATTCAATATGCTTTGGGCATCTCTTTGTTTCCTACAACAATCTGCTCCGATCTTGAAACCTTCTGTAAGTGGTCGTATTTTCTCGTAAATTTTTCAAGCGTTACCCTTGTCGTCCAGCTTCCCCCTTCGGATCTCGGTATCTATCCCACCCCGCACGTGTTGTCATCGATCCCAAGGTTGCCAGGTAGGCAATCTGCTTTATCGTACCAGCTGTTTTTGCGGTCTTTCCAAAATCCAATAGTTTCGTTTGCAGCTGCACGAGGGAGTTTAAAAAGCCATTCGACAGTTCCCTTATACCAAGTTGCTGATGATTGCCCCCGGATTGCAGTAAGGCAAGTTAAATAGAAAACCGCGCGGTAGTTTGTTGTGATTGCAGCTTTTTGGCAACACATGTTCCTTGTTTTTGTGTTTAATTTTCATGGTCTAGTAAAAACTCGAATTCGAATCGGGTAAAAATTATGCCTTTTTCCCATGTTACGACTTTTCTTGCGTTTCACCCCCCGCTTGACTCACTATGGAACAACAGAATTCCACCAAACTTGGTTCGATCAAACCAACCTCAATTTTTTAAACTACAAAGTAGAAGGTGAACTATATATTGATCTGCTTACTTAATACAAATATCATTCTCAGGTCACTACTACGTATACTAGGAATAAGTGGTTTCTGAAAAAAAAATCAAATTTAAATAAAGATATTTTGTTAGCATGTTCTATACATTATTTGTTACATTTAATGTTGAAAGTGTTAATAGTTTGCTCTTTAATTTTACAGTTTATTGAAGCGCAACCAAATCATGAAAATCTCTGCGGGAGCATTTACAAATTTAACGGCTTTAAAAGTGCTGTAAGTACACTCGAGTGTTTTTAAAGAGCATACTTAGACGCATATTATAAATATCCAACATTCATATCCACATACATACGAACACAATTAATTCTATGCTACATTTTGACGGATGGCTTTATCAAATCTAATACCAAGTGATTGATGAAATCCTGGAGATTTTTCGATAAAACCATCAATCATCATCAAAATAAAAATATGACGCTTTGATATTACAATATATTTATTAAATAAACACTTAAGTAAACGAGAGCGCAATCTTGATTACGAAAAGTATATTTAAATTTGATAAAACTCAAAAATTTATTTGCGTTCTAAAGAATGTTAAAAACTTATTGAATTAAATTAAATTAGGTGTTTTTGCAAAAATAAGAAGCAAGAATGCTTTCAGGAAAATTTTTTTGTGGCTGTGAGCCAAGTGACATAAAACATTGCCAGCAATTTAATATACAAAATGGGTAGTCGAAATAAATGCTTAGATTTCATAGAAAGCGAGAAGAAAGCAATAACAAGTAAAAGAAAAACAGTGAAAACATAAAATGTTGGAAAGTGGAAATAAAAATTTTTATAGAGGAATAAAAATCTCGTAGACCATTGAACTGAAATGGTTTTGGGATATTTGATCGAAAGCACCAAAAGAAAATTGTTGAAATTTTAGAAAAAAAATTAAGAAAAATGGCAAAACTTCGTGGTCGTAAACACTTGAAACTAAAAGCATACAGGCATACATGAACATAAACAGATATGCTATAAACTCATTGACCGATAAAATGTTGCACAGAAAAATAAAACAATTATTTATGTATCGACAATGCATTGCTAGGAAAGTGTGTAAGTATGGATATTGCATATAGTGATGCTAAACAAAAGTGCTTTTGAGCATGTAAAAGTTTGAAAAATATTTTAAAAAAAATCTCGATTTCAAAAAGCTCTCTTATTTTGGTAAATTCGTTTCTTTAGCACATACGAGTACGTATACGAGGTGTGCTCAAAAAGTATCGCGAATCTTGAATTTTCGCTGGTTACGTATAATCGAATTTCGATTTGTTTGTGGCGTTATGTTGGTACTCATGTCTTTCACTTATGCCGACAAGCTTGGCCATTTTACATGTTCACTTAATTGTAGACAGCTGCTTTGCAAATTTTGTGTGAAGAACGAAATTAAGTGCGCGGATTCATTCCGAATGTTGACTGTGGCATACGGAGAACCTACCTCGTATACTTAGCACATATCTTTGTAAATTCTCTTCACTTTGCTTTATTTGTAAGCAAAACTTTCTAAGTAGCTTTGGTGCTAACACTTGTCGTATATATTATACATCTGTATGTATGTAAGTGTGCGAAGAGGTAAGAAAAACTATTGCCAACAACTTTGCTGTTGATGATGAAAAGGTAAAAGTTATAAGTTTCGTGGCGTCATTACTTCTATAAAACTCGAGTACGAGTTATTTGCTGAAATTGCAATTGTTGTTCTTGTTTTAAGCATTTGTGTCGAAATGTGGCAATTTCGAGTGACCACTAGAAGATAAATGGTTTATAAATATTTGCACTCACGATAACTTATGTAGAAACATAAGAACAATATATTAATCAATACATTATATATAGAGTACATAAGAAAACAAAAAAAATATATTCCTATAGCAAATAATTTGCTTTATTAAAATAATTTAATGAGTGAGAAATAAATCATTTTTATATTTTTGCATTAAACATATATATAAATATGCTGCATCAAATTTTTAAGTAAATAACTTCAATAGTTTTAATCCTCCGCTGTCAATTTCTAACTCTTTGCAATGTAGAGAACTGGACGACAATTTGATAAACAGTTTACCGGAGGGATTAAATAAGTTGACGCATTTACAGGAGCTGTGAGTATATTAAAATTTAATTATTTAAAAAATTAACGCTTAATATAACCAAATTTTTATTTTCTAGTCTAAGAAATATTGTTTTATTATATTTTAAATTTTATTTAAATTTGTTTTTTTTTTTCGTTGTATTTAATTAAATTTTATTTACTTAAATTTTATTCTTTTCAGTTTTGTTTCCTTAATTTTCATTCGTGTCTTTACTTTATTTAATTATAATTCAATTTCGTTATCGTTTTATTTTACATCCTCCTATTAATTTGATGTTACCTACTTTCCTTAATTGCTCATATATTTTATTTTAACTCGAGTGTTATTTTGTTTTGTTTTCTTTTATTTTGGTTTATTTTATGATAATATATTTTATTTTATTTTTATAATGTTCTATATTTTATTGAATACAATTTTTCTTATGGTATTTTTAATATGTTTCGTTTTATTTGATTTTGTTTTATTTATATAGTATTTCTTATTATTTTATTTTTTTTTTAATTTTGTAAAATTGAATTCATTTTATTTCATATAACTATTTTTTCTCTTAATTAAATTTGCTTTTTTAATTTTATAATGATTCCTTTTTAATTTTTTTATTACAATTTATTTTATATTATTTTTTATATATATCATATTTTTTTTTTTTTTATTTCGTTTTATTTTGTCTTATTTTATTTGATTTTTTAATTCGATTCTATTTATTATTATCATATTTTACGGATTATTATTTCATTTTATTTTTTTTAATGGTTTTCACTATTTTACTTTTATTTTAATTAATTAAATTCATTTGGTGTTATTTAAGTTTTTTCCATTAATTAATTATTTTTATTTCTTTTATTTTTTATCTATTGGATTTTACTTTTTTATTTAATTTATTTTGCATAGTGATTTTATATTTTATTTTTTTTGTATAATATTTTATTTCAACTCATTTTACTTCATATTATTTTAGAAATTATTTTGTTCTATTTTATTTGATATTAATTAATATTATTTTATACTGCTTCATTTCATACTAAATAACAATAAATATTTTATTTGAATTTATTTAATTTCTTATTTTGATTTACCTTATCTTATTTCGTTCATTTCTTTTTAATTTGATTATTTTTTGTTTCTAATGCTTTTTATTTTATTTTTTTTCTTTTTATACTATAGTATTTATTTTTTTATTTTTTTAATTAATTCAATTTATTTTGTTTCAGTTTAAGTCATTTCCTTTTTTTATTATCTTAATTTCTATCATTTTTTTTTCATTTTGCGTTAAGTTTTTGTGTATTACTCTTTTATTTGTTTTTTATTTAAATTTTTCTTATAACATTTTGTTGTATTTTACTTACTTTTATTTGATTTTGATTTCTTTTGTATTGTTTTATTTAATTTAATTTAATTTTCGTTTAATTGAAGTTAATTTATTTTAATTTTTTAATGTTATATTATTTTATTTTATTCTAGAGTATTTTATTTTTCGTTATTCTAAGTAGTTATTATTTATTTTTAATTGTACAATTTAAATTTATCTTATACAATTTTTTTTAAATGATTTTTATTATTTTATTTTATTCAATTTTGTTCATCATGTTTTATTTTGTTTTGTTTCATTTTTAATTCTTTTGTTTTGATTAATTTTACTATTGTATATTTCATTTATTTTATTTTATTTACTTGATCTTTTTATTTGATTTTATTTATTGTTATTAAGATATTATTTATGATATTTTTATTTAAATTTTGTTTCTTAATTTTGAAGTTTAAAATTTTTTTCTTTTATTCTAAATAATTTTGTTATATTTTATTTGATTATATTTCAATATAATTAATCTTATTATTAATTATCAAATTTAAAAGATGTTTTTCTAAATATATTTCAAATCGTCCCAAATTTTTTGGTTTAAATTTACTTGTTTAGAAAATTTTGTAATTTAATTAAACTGCAATAAGAATATTTCTCTATCCTTCCGAAGTATTGAGTACTGTCTATTGCTTTGAGCAGCTTAATATGTCTAATTAAGATATCACTTCTTTTCAAAATACAGGAACAAAATTTCTTGCCTATCTATACTCAGTCTTACGTTCTTGTGTGAAACAGATATGTGTGTACGATATTTCCTTGTGTGCCAACAACAGCTACTAATTTGCTCAAACATAATGCAATTTCAATGCACTTGGCTTAAACATCATTAGGCGTAGTTTCAAATTATTGTAAATTCCAAACTGTCACCTAAAGCTGTTGCTGAAAAGACAAATACTGCAATATAATATTCTTGCACATAATAATAATACACACGTGCATATATTTACGAGTATTACTGAATGTATGACTGAATGTTTAGTGGAAACACAACGCCACATATGCATGTACGTGCATTAATATGCAGACATGATAACTCAAGTGGTACATTAAGCCCTGCAACCTACTTATCAATTGTCAACTCAGATGTTTGTAAAATGGCGTGATGTCGAGGAAATACAGTTACTCGTAAATGATGTCAAATTGACAAGGACAGTTTTCATTAGTGCATTGAGTTCGCCTAAATATACTAGCGATTTGACTCGAAATTTGAGTCAAATTAGTTTATAAATAATATTTTTTTTTTATTATCTTACTGTCAGAATTGTATTAGGAATGAAAAATTTGTATTTTTACATTTTTAAAGTTGCTGTCGTCTAAAGATTACTGGTCTGAGTATTTGCAAGGCTGGAGCATTTCGATCCATCCTGGCAACATGGCCAATTTATCAAAACCGGTGTCTCCCAAAAATTCCCTAAACTATTTCAATTTCGATTTATATCTAGCATCCATCATCTAAGTGCAACGAAAGGGTGATGTGTGCTGACCTTTTCTCTCACATATGTTTTCCATGATTTGACGCATATTGATTATGGGATGATTTTACGAGTATATGACCTACTGTAGATGTAGCAGGTCTAAGGCCACACTGAAATGGTTTGATTTTCCGTTTTTCGACGCAAGGTGTGGATTGGGCAAAGCACACTTAGGTAATTTTGCAAAGAAGTTGATGCATGGATAATATGGTCCAATCTTTGCCACCAAATTTCAATCATCACGGTAACCGTGCGTCTGCTTGGCCATCTGCTGGTGTTTTATATTCAATGCAATTCAGTATAAACTCGGCATACTCTGGACATCAGTCGCCAGATGAGAACAATACTTATTGCTGAAGTGTGGTCGCCGGTCTTTCGTCACTGTCAAGATGTAGTCTATTCACTGACAATATAATTTTATATAATCGATGAAAGTCACATAGAGCCAAGGTCAGTGCGAAGAACAAGTATTTGATGGTAGATAATAATTACCCGTGACACTCATTTTCCGTTCTTTAGAATATCCATATGCTAGGAAGCTTTTACAACACTTCAGCAAACATAGTCTGGTCGTATGCAAGTACCTAGGGACAAATTGTTCTAGCAGAAATTACTAATTTTAGTCAGTCATGATCACGAGCAGATTTGAAACTTAAGTTGCATTGCAAAAACTTTTCGTAATAAAATTACGATATTTATAAAGTATTTAATTAATTTTCAAATGTAGGCGTATTTTAAGCTCTAACACACTACCATGCCAACAAAGGGATTCGTGCAGGAATTCGGGCTAAAAGTCAACTGACTGCATTTGGAGGAATTCCTTCATTCATGAATTCTCGTGAAGCTCAATGTGTAATACTTATTTAACAACAAAACAAGGAATTGCAACACGTTTACATAACTACACACATACTCCTTCATTCGTGTATATGCTGCATACCGACCTCCTTTAGTGTACCTACGGTAGCATTTGACACGATTTGTTCAAGCGGAATGCATAAATGAGGTTAAAAGGGGAAGTATCAAACTTCTTTGGATATTACAAGACAAAGTGGAAAGAATAAGAAGAAGAAGCACAGAAGATAATAGCATTTAACATAGTATTCGAATTATGCGCTGGAGCAGTGAAAAATATGTGACAACAGGCATTAGCGAGTAAACAATTGCACAGACGTATACTCGTACACACATACACATATGTGCATTTACGGCGACAGAGCATAGTGACATGTAAGCAACAGTCGCCTGACACAGTGTTGACGACAGTGTTTCTTACCCTCTCCCACTCAATTACACTGTTCGTTACTCTCTTCTTCAACGATTAAACCTACACTGGCACGGCAGCGTTGCCGCAGGTCTTGGTCGTGGCGGTGGTGCCGATAAGTTGCAGCTGAGTTCATAAAATCATAACGTGTTATTTCATTGCATATTTACGAGCGCCGTTTTAAATGATGCAGCAAGAACTTGCCTCACTACTGCGCTCCTTTCTTTTTTGTTAAAGTTCTTTGGTTGTTGTAAGGTACAGTTATTTAAATACAACTTGTTTGAAGGATATACACCCATGTAGGAAATCAATCTAAAATTAAAAATTGAAATAAGTCGGCTAAATATTTGCAAAAAATTCAGATAAGGTTTTCAGAATGGGCGAATACGTCAGAGTTGGAAAATTGATAGCCATGAAGTTTATTGCCATTCTGTTAATATGAAATATACATCACGTATATTCATTAGAATATTTGACTGCTTGGGGCAAAATTGTATCATAACGATGAATTTTACGTTGATTAAAAAAAAAATTAAATAGATTCGGTGCAGGTATCATTAAAAATTTTATTTTTTTTTATCAAAAGAAATGCTGTCATTAATGTTAAATCCTTACCAGATAATGTTAAGTGGTTAGCAGATAATGCTAAATCAATAATAGATAATATGATAGTCATATCAAAAAGGAATCCACAGGGACTTCTGCCGCCATTACCCTTGAAGTTCCAACTGATCAATTAATATTATTCAGTATATGAAAATAACATTTTTGAAAATTTTGAAAAATGTCCTTGATTTTTACATTTCCCATTGGGTCTTCTTGTATTCTCAGCTAGAATAGAAGTTTGATATTTTCGTCTGCATGCATACTCTTCCGCTCTTGCGATGTGCAATATTCATTTTAGAGTAAACAGGATAATTATGGCAATGTTAAATGCAGCGATAAGAAGAAATTCAAAATCTCAGACTGACGTCATAAGAAGGGAAGTCATGTAAATTAATTTAAGTTTTTCGGTAGAGGAAAAGTGTCACTGCAAGCTTGGAGCATTGAAATTATCATTTGGTTAAATTTAGTAATAAAATAACTTTCTTTTTGTATTTTTTTTATAATAAATGCATTCAGCTGTGTGTTGCATTTGCAAACTTTTAGTACAAAAAAAAAAATAAAGTAATTTCGTTTTTCAAATTTCCAGTTCAGCTACTAGCAATCGTTTGCGTTGGATCAACGAAACGGATTTACCGAGAAATTTACAAATGCTTGATTTTCGCGCGAATCCGCTTTCAATAATTACGCCAAAGGCCCTGCGTGGCATGTCAAGATTACGCAAATTGTAAGTAGACAAAAGGACATAACCAAATAATATACAAAAATTATTGTTGATTGGTTTATTCTTTCACCATCATCAAAGGATACTCTCCGATGTGCGGTCGCTTAAAGCTTTTCCCGATCTGGAAGGTTGTTTCTCTTTAGAGATTATAAAATTAGATCGTGCTGGTATTAAAGAAGTGCCCACAAACCTATGTCGTCAAACACCAAGACTGAAAAGCTTGTAGGCATATTTATTTCGAACATTTTTAAATAATTAAATGAAATATTTTTTGCGTGTAAATTTTTATGCATTAATTTCAGTGAGCTTAAAACTAATTCCTTAGTGCGCATTCCCAATTTAACTAATTGCAGAGAATTAAGACTGTTGTAAGTACAGCTAGCACTCTTATGCCATAAAACCTCATACCTCTTAATTTTTTTTAACAGAGATCTTTCAAGTAATCACATAGAATCGTTGAGTGGACGACCCTTTGTTGGCCTTAAACAACTACACGATTTGCTGCTCTCCTATAATCGTATAAAAGCGATACCACAGGATGCCTTCGTTGGTATACCACGCCTGCAGTTGCTGTATGTATAAACAGAGTAAAAAATTGAATGTGCTTTGAAACTTTATTAAGAAATTTGCTTTTTATACAGCTTTACAACTAAAGCAAGTTATTTGAATATTTTGCACTTAAAATATATTTCATAAAAATCTTCCCTAAATTCTAGTTCACTTTATTTAATTCAAAACCATAAAGCCCATTGATAAATAATGCCTTTATTTTAATTTAAATTTATTTAATTTTTAATATGTTTTTATTTTTTATTGCGCAATTTAATTTAATTTAAATAATTTTTATTTTATTTTAATTTACTTTATACTGCATTATTTTGTTTACTTACTTACTTAACTGGCGTAGACACCGATTACGCGATTATTGCCTATTTACAAATGTGCGCCATTCGTTTCTTCTTTTTGCTGTTTGGCGCCAATTGGAAATACCAAATATAGCCAGGTCCTTCTCTATCTGGTCTTTCCAACGGAGTATAAGTGTTTCTCTTCCTGTGTTTCCACCAGGGGGTACTGCATCGAATTCTTTCAAAGGTGGAGTGCTCTCATTCATTCGGACGACATGACGTAGCCGCTGCTTCTTGATTCGCTGACTCGTATAACTCGTACAGCTCATCGTTCCATCGCCTGCGGTATTCGCCTTTGCCAACGCGCAAAGGACCATATCTTACCCAAAACCATTCTCTCGAAAACTACTAACGCTGTCTCATCGGATACTGTCATCGTCCATGCTTCCGCACCATATAGCAGAACGGGAACGATTAGGGACTTGTAGAGTTTGGCTTTCGTTCGTCGGGAGAGGATTTTACTTTTCAATTGTCTACTCAGTAGCACCTGTTGGCAAGGGTGATTCAGCGTTGGATTTCATAACGGGCGTTATTATTGGTGGTTCGTAGATGGACGAAATTATCTATGACTGTCAATTATTATGACTGTCAACAGCGTGGTAGTTTTGACCAATAATGTAAATATTACCGGCGTACGTCAATAATTATACACTCTTATAGAAGATTGCACCTTCTCTATTCAGCACTGCAGCTCTTATTATTCTACCCAGCATCAAATTGAAGAAATCGCACGACAAAGAGTCACCCTGTCTGAAACCTCGTTTGCTATCGAACGGGCGTTCTTCGATACACAGAGGTGTATGAGCATCTTCGCTGCAACAGCATAATGGTCCGAGTCGATGTTTGGCCCTCGGAGTATACACACGTCAAGAACACTGGATAGCTGTCTTCCGTCTATAACAACATGATCAATCTGGTTTTGTGTTTTTCGATCAGGGGACAGTCAAGTAGCTTGATTTATTTTTTGTGCTGGTATCTAGTACTACAGACAACCATATTTCGGGCCCCGGCGAAGTCAATCAGCCTCAACCCATTAGGGGATGTTGTGAAGGCTGAATTGTCCAACAGTTGTACCGAAGATACCTTCTTTTCCCACCCTGGCATTAAAGTCGCCAAGCACGATTTTCACGTCGTGTCGGTTTAGCGCTCGTAAGTATACTCTGAGCCCTCATAAAAGGCATATTTGGCCAAATCGTCCTTCTCTTCCTTCGAGGCGTGGACGCAAATCTGCGATATGTTGAAAATTTTTGCTTTGATGCAGATTGTGGCGAGACGCTCATCCACCGGAGTAAATGCCAGTACTCGACGACGAAGTCTCTCTCCCACCACAAATCCAACACCAAATATGCGCTCCCTCATATGGCCACTATAATAAATGTCGCAAGAACTTACTCGCTTTCGTCCTTGTCCCGTCCTTCGCACTTCTTGGATAGCGGTGATGTCAGCCTTTATTCTTACGAAGACATCAACCAGCTGGGCCGCGGCACCTTCCTATTAAGGGACCGGACGTTCCAGGTGCATGCCCTCAAATCGTGATCCTTAATTCGTTTGCGTTTAGGCGAGTAAGTTTAAAGTTTTTTTACACTTTTATATAGCGAGCCGCTTGCTTCAAGGCCGACGCTCGCAGCCGCACCTCTGGTGAACATACGCAGCAATTAGACTTCAGCAAACCCTTAAACTGAATAAGTCGGAGTGGCTCCACTGAAGCTTCCTTTCTCATTAGCCGTGACCCAATGCTCCACACGGGTGGGTTACCGCATATTGTACAAAGGTTGCTCACAATTCCAGGGTGCGCCACGTGGACGGAAGAGTAGGAATTAAGTATAGCCACGCAACTGTAACCGCATACCCAGAAGCGTGACAACACCCCATTTACACAATTTTACTTTATTTAATTTTATTTGACTTCATTTTATACCATTTATTTTATCTAATTTTATTTCAAATAATTACATTTTATTTAAAGTTATTTTATTCTATTTTATTTCATTTTAATTTTTTAGTTTTAACTATTCCGTTTTATTTTATTTTTTTCATCCTATTTGATTTGTTTTATTTTACTTTTTTGTTTCATTTTATTTTATTTTGATTTTTCTATTTTATTCCATTTTATATTTATTTCATTTTATTTATTTATTTTTTATTTCACTTTCTCTCATATTTGAATTTACTCTGTTTTATTTTATTTTATTTATTTTTATTTTATTTCATTTTTTATGTTATTCTATTTCATATTCTATTCATATTATTTTATATTCATTTTTTAATTTACTCCGTTTTATTTAGTTTTAATGAATTTTGTTATATTTATGTTATTTTATTATATTTATTTTAATATGTTTATTTTACTTTATTTCATTTTTTATTTTACTCCGTTTTATTTTATGTTTTTCATTTAATTTTAATTAATATCAATCACTATATTTTAAGTAGCAGATTCAAATATGTGTGTTATTTTAGTCAATTTTGCTTTATAATTTTTTGTTTTGTTTTATTCAGTTTTTTTACTCTTTTTGTATAACTTAATGTTAGTTAATTACAACTATTAATTCATTTTATTTTATAATTATATGTTATAATTAAATTTAAACTTATTTAATTTATTTTATAATAATGGATTTCAATTTAAATTATTTTGTACGCTTATTATTTTTTTAATATTTATAATTTATTATGCGAATTTATTTTCTGAAAAACTATTTATTTTTTTGTAAATACAGTTTCAAATAAATTTTATCATTAAGTAAATTTTTGAATTAAGTTAAGTTAATTTTATTTATATATTTTTCGGTTTATTGAACTTATTTTTAAGTAATTTAATGTAAGTTTTAAATTGTTTTTTTTTTATGAATATTTTATTCCACTTCACTTGCTTTCATTTCACTTCACTTCTTCTCATTTGTTCAATCGCTCTCTCCATTACTTTCAGAGACTTGGAAGGTAATGAGATCACCAGCATACACAAAGAGGCCTTTGTACCATTCGTCAAGTTGGAGAACCTTAACTTAGGCAATAATGTGTTTCCGGAACTACCGTCGGCCGGTTTGAGCAAACTCTTGCATTTAAAGACTTTTAACAATCCAAAGTTGCGTGACTTTCCAGCGCCGGACACGTTTCCTCGCATACAGACCCTCATACTTTCGTACGCTTATCACTGTTGTCCATTCCTTCCATTGGTGGCGATGTCCGCAACAAAGAAACCACCGCTGGTGCAAGAAGCTGTTCTCTTTCCATCCGACTCGGAATTTGATATGAGCTTGTGGAATAATAGCATGATGGACATATGGCCACAGATGCGTGAGTAAAATTAGCTTAACAGATATGGGCTGATTTTTGCAACCTAAATTCTGGTTTGCCTCTTTCTACCTCAATGCCTCGCTCTTAATTTTCCTTCGTGTTGTACTTTAAATGCTTTTTCTCTTTTGTGCTTCTTCGCAGAAAACCTCAGCAAGAAGTTCGGTAACCAAATGCACGATTTGTGGGACAACTTCGGTCAGGACTTTAATTATCCCGGCAACCTACCAACTTACGTGGAGGAATACTTCGAGGAGGACGCCACTGGCACCACGACGACTTCAACGGGCATACCTAGCAGTTTTGCGGGTTTCAGCACTGGCCTTTTTGGCACAATCGACACTGATATAACACCGGGCTCTATACAGTGCCTACCAATGCCGGGCCCTTTTTTACCTTGCACCGACTTATTCGACTGGTGGACTTTGCGTTGTGGAGTTTGGGTTGTTTTTCTTTTGGCATTGTTAGGTAACGGTATTGTTGTCATAGTGTTGATGTTCTCCCGCTCAAAGATGGATGTACCGCGCTTTTTGGTATGCAATTTGGCTGCCGCTGATTTCTTCATGGGCATCTACCTCGGCATACTTGCCATAGTGGACGCCTCAACACTAGGCGAATTTCGAATGTTTGCCATTCCTTGGCAGATGTCGTTCATGTGCCAGTTCGCCGGTTTCTTAGCGGTGCTCTCATCGGAATTGTCGGTTTACACGTTGGCTGTGATAACGCTGGAGCGCAATTACGCAATAACGCACGCAATACATTTGAATAAGCGCCTGTCGTTGCGCCAGGCCGCCTACATCATGGCTGTGGGCTGGACATTTGCACTTGTAATGGCAATTTTACCATTGGTGGGTATCTCGGACTACCGTAAGTTTGCTGTCTGTCTACCTTTCGAAATCACGACAGGCGTATCCAGCTTGGTGTATGTCATTGCGCTGATGTTCATCAACGGTTGCGCCTTTCTGACACTTATGGGCTGCTATCTGAAAATGTACTGGGCCATAAGAGGTTCACAGGCATGGAATACCAATGACTCAAGAATCGCGAAACGTATGGCACTACTCGTTTTTACCGACTTCGTTTGCTGGTCGCCCATTGCCTTCTTCTCCATCACTGCCATCTTTGGGCTGCAATTAATCTCCCTCGAGCAGGCGAAAATATTCACCGTCTTCGTCTTACCTTTGAATTCATTCTCGAATCCTTTTCTATATGCCATTATGACGAAGCAATTCAAGAAAGATTGCATTGCACTCTGTAAGCACTTCGAGGAACGACGTGTGACACGTGGCGCCGCTACTGCAGGAGCAACATTACCCGATGGCCTTCATAGACGTGGTGGTGTACGTGCCACCAAAGAGCTGCCACCTTTATTGCCCGCGACACACCCACCTGGTTGCCGTTGTTTGCGCATGATGCCAAATGAAATGCCGAACTGGCACAAGTTCCAAGGACGCGAGCGTGCTCGTGACACATGGTCCTGCAACGTGTGGCACCGCCTAACAATTTGTTGTCACTGCGCCGATGCGGACAATGACGACGATGATGATGTGCTAACACCTGAGACACGCCGCAAAGGTGGTCGTCGTCAGCGTAAGACCCACAAATCGAACAATCGTCACACACGCACGCGTTCCCACCAAACCAATACCGATCCGTACCTTTATCAATTCGCCGAGTTAAAGCAAAAACAGAAACAGACACGCGCCAGCTCGATATCCAGTGAGAATTTCTGCTCATCACGTTCGTCTAGTTGGCGTAATGGACCACCGTCGGCGGGCGCGCTACCACACACATGCAACATACCAATGAAAATGATGGATCCGAATCGTAGGCGGCATTCAGCATGGTTGATAACGCGTAAAACTTCACAAGACTCGAATTTATCGAGCTCGCGTAATGATAGCTCAGCGTCAGCTACAACTGCAAGTACCTCAACTTTCCGGCTATCGCGTTCAAGTGCGGGCAGCACAACGCCACTGCCATCGATTATGGGTGAGTGAGCACGTGGCTAGATCCCGCTATGCTCACTAACTGAATAAAATATGTTTTTCTTTTTCTTGCCAACAGCACATAGTGGTAAATCTCAACAACAACAGGTGCAACAACATACTACGCTGCCTGCGAAACCACGTCTCGTACGCCAGGAGGCAGTACAAGAGGAGGAGGACTCTTCACCACCGCGTCTCGGTGTACGCTTTCTACCCACCATACCATCAGCCGCTGACAGTTCAATTATTATGGAAGATGGCGACTCGTCCATGAATGTAGCCAGCGTAATGGGCATGCCGTTGCCAGGAGCAGCAAGTGGTTTCTATACGGTGTTGAAGGCCCAGAGTAGCGGTGCAGCGAAAACGGTGCTCACCTCGACGTCCGCTAGTCCGCCAGTGGAAGACCAACCACCATGACACTGTTGGCCGTGGAGGAGTACAAGGAGAGAAAAGTATCAGGCAACAACAAATGATCGCAAGAGGAAACATTGTATTAATGAGGCATTTCTTTGACGCTTTTATAGCTGTTCAATCACTATAAAGTGCCGCCTTTTTGCAGATGTAGAATTAAGATTTTAAAAACTCCTTTGACATTGGTTTTTTTAATTGCATTTCTTTTAAATTTATTTCTATTTTAATTTACGTTTTTTTCTGTCATGTTCATAAAATGGTATATTATCAGCGAAAGAAGACGCATAAAAATGTATACCGATAGGGTCAGATTGACGAGTAGAGTTGATTTAGCTATACTCGTATTCGTCTGTCCGTCAGTCCATCAAACCATTTAGCGGATGCAGGTAGATCGGACTACTATAGCATGTGAATTTGTGAAATTTGGTATTTAGCACACTTATAAAGAATTTCATATTACTACTAAAAATTTTCGAAATCAGACGTCCATAGCTCTCATCTTATTTTTCATATATTAGGCTTTGGTTAAAAGCCTGTCGAAAAAACGTTTAAGTGTATGAAGTTTCGAGACAAATATACATTGTAATAGTCTCTACAATTAAACATTATCGACGGAAATTTTGGAAATCTGATGTTTAGATTACATAGCGCACAAGCTTTGTTCAGCTTTGTAAAGAACTGTCGTAAAAACATCTAAAAGCAAGAAATTTCAAATTTTGCATACATTTGTACAAATAAAGACTGCCACCGAAAACTATGGAAAACGGAAAACTACGCCATGGGGGTTATATTATATGATCCAACCAATTTTTCAAATTTGATTATTAATATATTATAAAAATTAAATTTCTTAAATAGATATGGTTATGAAAGGTATAAAGCAGATATGCTCAACTAACGAAGCGAAAAATAAACTTAACAAAATAATTTTGTTTCATTTCGACGCCATGTAATTGAAACGAAATGAAATTGTTAATGTTGAAACCGCAAAACTCATCGTTAACGTTAGTTTTAAAATTACTGTCTGCTTAATATTAACAGCACACTTCGATGTTAACGTTTAACGTTACCTGTTAACGACTTAGCATTACCGAAAGCATTTCATTTCGTTTAAAAACGAAATAAATTTTATTTAGATAACTGCTTTAACGATGAAATTTCTAAAGGTTTCAAGCGAATAGATTAAATGTTTAGATTTTAATGTTACTCACGATGTACCCTTGGTATAAAGAGCTCTTCGTTCTAGTTTTTATATTATTAGTTTATTAATTAATTTATTTTGTTTTGGTAACTGGTTATTTAATTTTGTTTCAACTAATTTATTTTGCTATTTATGTTTACGTATTTTGTTTTATATTTAACTTTATTTAATTTTATGTTACTTTTATATATTAATTTATTTTATTTTATTTTTTTTATGATCAGTTCATTTAATTTAATTATTTAATTTTTTCATTTCATTAAATTTTGTTTTATTTAATATTATTTTATACCTTTATTTCCTTTTTTCGTTTACCCACATGTATGTATTACCATCTACGTGAGACACAATGGGCATATATTATCATATATATCTGTATATATGTATGTATATATAAGTAGTCAATTTGTACAGTAGCCGATAATGTGTGGTTTTATGTATACATAAGTGTATGTTTGTATGTTTGGATACATGTAAATAGATAAAAAATTAAAATTTGTGTTAAATATATATGATTTAAATTTCTAAATATGTCTTCAGAATGAAATTCTCAGCAAATTATTAAAACGATAGATTATGTGCTAACCATTTTAATGAATCAGCGCCAATCCAACTGTACTTTTTTAACCGGAAATACTTATGTATGTATTAGTTTAGCTTGCTTGTAAGTAATATCGGAAATAAATGCATGTGCATACATTTTCCTTTATCCACAACAACATTGAATTTCGAAAAGGTTCAATACGTCTTTTATTTTTTTCTTTAATCCGCACTACATTCTAATTACATGATTTCCCTTGCGCTGGGGACTTGTAATTTCCACTGTCGAGTTGCTCTTTTAATTTGATTTTTTTGCTTCTGTTTCGAATATAAATGCCTGTATATTTGTAAATCCTCGATGAAGTAACTAAATAATAATTTAATATACATATGTACTGTAATAATAATTATGAAGTGATAGTATTTATAAGAAATAATTAGTCATAGGCAAAGGAAACAATAATAAAAAATAAATTTAAATAGAAAAATAAATAAATATATATGTATGTAAGTGATAAGTATATAAAAAAATAAATATGTACGTAAATGTTTGAAAAATAAACTATTTATCGTATATTTCTCATGGACAACTTATTTACTTGTAACGTCATTGTAATGTAACTATTTTCAATTCGAAGTTGAAAAATGCAGAAATAACACTACAAAATAAAAAATTTATTTTCCATATGCTAAGTAATTAAAGTTGAAAACTTAAAAAGTCGGTTTATTAAAATTTTCTCTTCTCTTTAAGAGAAGGCCCCACCATTAACATAGAAACTGCTAAAAACACTATCTATTACTTTCACTTTATTTAAAAAATGTCTAGCGTTTCAAACAAAATTTTTTAAGCTTATTTTTCATATTAACAAATCGAATAGACAAAAATTTATAAAAGTACTAATGGATTCACGAACTTTGTCTCAACTACTATGCTTTCATTTTAACTTTTTTTAACAGTGATAATAGAACATAAAGATATATATCAAAGCGGTTACAATTTTACTCCACTTCCACCAATTTTGCTTTTAACTAGCACATTTACCACAGAGTGCTACAAAAACTAAACACATTCGGCTTAATGCGCTGGGGATCGTCACTTTCAGCGCTTCGTCTTTGTTGGTGTTCTGTACAACCCATGCAAACGAAACAATATGAATTGAGAATACGGAAAATTTTCTGTCTTTTGAAATTTATTTCTGAAATTTTGGATTTTCAGTTTATTTGTAAATTTTCGATATTCGAATCACACAAATATTCAAGCTGTGAAGTTGAAGAATTGAAAAGAACAAAAATGTAAATTTATCGTAGAATCTGGCGATCGTTGTCGAATTTGTGTTACTCAAAGTGGCGACAAATGGCATTTACTTTCAATCGAGAAGATTCCTTGTTTGATAGTTCAGGAACTCTATTTCTCTAAATCTGTTGGCGTATTGCTGCTGCTAAAGTCGCACGTTATCATCAATAACACCAAATATGGCACCAGCTCTTCTAATACCATCAAATTTGCAAAAGGTTCTTCAAATGCAGTCAATACCATCCGCTTGTAACCCCTCCGTCGTTTGCTCTTGACTCTTTTCTTGTGGTTCGTCATATTTTTTTTCTTCATTTCAAATTTCAAATGTAAAATTCAAAAGGTAAAATGATGAAACAAGAAACACATTCAGGTGGTCCTACTGCTTTAATTTTTGTGGTCATAACTTCTCTTTTAAAACGCTTTTGCTTTATTCCAATTCTGCCGCAAGAACTTCAAAGGGAACGCTTGTCGTTAGCCGCTTTAATTTTTGTATCGTCTGTTACTTTGAAAGATCTTCAGTAAAACGACTGACAATAAGAGACGGTAAGAAATGACAGAAACGGTGGCGATAACGATAACGAGCATACCACAACAGTGTCGTCTGACGATACCGAATAACTTTTTTCTATGTTAGGAATCGATTTACTTTTCTTTTTATTTATCACGTTATTATTTCCATTTTTTCTTTCTAATGTCCGTCATTTTCGAGTCGATCCTGTAGTTATATTAATTCAGGCAAATACAAGCGTTTCCACTCGAAACTTATCTTTAACTTAACTCTATAATTGCCTATTTATGCTTTAAAAATGTCTATTTCCATCTAAACGACAATGCAAAAAAGCAAAACTGCAGTATAAAAGTGAATAGAAATCAGAAACAACCCATGAGACAGGACTTCACCCAAAATGAGGCACTCTGTGGTGGCCGGTTTCATTAAGTTGCATTGTAGGACCCTATTTTTTGTAAAGATGTTGAAGTACTTTTTTATCCCAGAAATACGCCGTAGATTTATCTTTTTCAAAATCGTTTAGTTTCAGCAAGTGAAACTGCACTCATTTCGAAACAAAAATTTAAAAAAAAAAGATCAGGTCAGCTCTACACTAAACTTTTCTCATAAGGTTATGGCTAGCTGAAGTTGTACAAGGAAAACCAAGAAATTTCACTGAATTGAAACAGTCCATTAAATAGATAATTGATTGGTAACATTGACTTCAACCCTACAGGCCGCAATGAATAGTTTTTTTAATTAGGTGCCGCATATGCTGAGCGTAGATCATTTATGGCCTGTCATCTTTAAAAATAATTAATTCTCTATATATTATATATATACAAATTTTTGTCTTGAATGGCTGACAGCTTAAACCACTGATCGTAGAGGCGTGAAACTTGAAAGATGTATGCTGCGTATGATGTATGCATAAGAAAGGATTTTCCGGAACGTGGATTTGGGCTAGATTTTATTCTACTATTAAATTTGTAGTTTGCTAAATGTGAGGCAATCCTGATATCTTAACTTTGTCATCGTCTGGAATTGCTGCATGAAAAAAAATCTTATTTATGGCCTTTAGTGAAAAAACTGAGCCTGAAAAAAAAATAGGAGAGTCCATTTAAGAGGAGATGTTACTGGGAGCCAACTCTCAGAACTGTTCTTTGAAATATGAAACTTGTAATTTCTCGGAACTAAATAAGGAAAACATTATCAACAATTGGTTAGGTTGTTAGAGTGGGATAAGCCGACAGAATGTCTATGCCTATGTTATTCAATAACCGGTAGTGTTCTTGAATATACTAAAGCCTCCAAACTCGCTTATTGAATAGTTGATTGAACAGTTGGATTGCCAATTATGCTCCTGCGCAATATAAATACACCAAAATTTTGTATTGGTTGTGTTTTTCATTGAACAATTTTTGAATTTAAAAGTATTCACTGTTGTTGGAAATGTCACGCAGCGCAAACAAAAAGTTCTATCCGCCATCAACTTAAGTGGCTTAAAACAAAAACAACTATTCTTAGTCTATTTTTACCCTTTTATTGCATTAGGAAATTAATTATAACAAAAACGGCATGACTGCTCAAATTTTAATCTACCGTTGTTACCGTGTTTTTTTGTTTCATATATTATTTAAATTATCACATATAAGGAACATTTATATATTACAACTTTCATTGCGATAAGAATTATTTAGGCATAAAAAAAGATCAATTAAAAATGTTAGCATTAAGATTGCAACTGAAAAAAATTATAAAAAAATTGATTATTTTTTGGCTTTGCTTATGTAGCTTTACGTACATTAAGTGGACTAAAAAAATGCCCGTCGTTTCTTATATAAAATACATGTAAAAAAAAATATTCCATTAATTTATTAAAATATCTTTTGAAACTGATTAAAAAATTATAGCTTGCATGGACTTGGTTTTCGTTTATTTTAATGCATAAATGCGATAAGCTAGATTTCGGCTCACCATAATGTACATAGGGTGCTATAGGGTGGTTCTTAATGTTTTGTGAATTGAGTTTGTAACCGGTTAACGCTAAGCTATGGCGGATGAATAGAAGTTAGTTTACAAAATTTAAATTCAAATAACCGGTAGAGTAAGTCAAAATCTTTTCAATTCGAATTTCGCTCTTAAAAATTGATTAGCATATATTCTTATGTTATTGCAACCAATTTAGAAGCACCCTGATATATATTTTTAATCAAATTATGAATTAAAAACAACATAAGCGAACGCAATGTGCGGAATATACATACATATGTTACGTCATCACTCTTCGCATTCTTAACCTTGAAAATTGTTACGAAATCCAAATGGAATTTTTTTTGATAAATTTTTTTTGCTATACACAAAGAGCAGTAGGTTAGTAAAATGTAACATCTCACTGTAAGAAATATTTACATTGCTGCACAGTGGTCCATAAATTTTAATTTTTGTCCAATAGTGAATTTTATCACAGTTCAGGGAATTTGATATGGAACCCACAAAAGAACATTTTCACCATATTTTTTACTTTTTTTTACACTCTAAGACAAGCTACGCTTATGTCGACGGGCCTTGTAACTGAGCGTGAAATTTATGATGTACGATCCGTTTTTGAAGCAAATCATAACTGGATATGAAGAATGAACATGACGAACCACTACAAACAAACCATTTCAAATGCCAAAAGAAGACTACGCTGTATGTCTGGTGGAATTGGAAGAATGTGGTATATTTTGAGTTGCTTCCAAGGAACCAAACGATTAATTCGGATGTCTGCTGTGATCAACTGGACAAATTGAATACATCCATCAACGAGAAGTGGCCAGAATCGGTCAATTGTAACGGTGTCATCTTACACCAGGACAATGCACAGTCAAACTACCATTTGTTTCCTCATAAAATTGTAAAACTTTTGAAAATGATGAGTCTTTAAAATTGCACTTGGCACAGTTTTTTACAGATAAAGGTCAGAAGTTCTATGAGCCTGGAATAATTATTGTATTTCCGGAGAGATAGCGATAGGTCATCCAACAAAATTAAAATTACAAAATTGATTAAAGTGCAATATAAAATAAAAAAAAAATGTAATTACTTTATTTTAAAAAGTCACCGGCTTCTTTTGGGGCAACTTAATATAAATTTCGGAAATTTCTTAAATCTGACTTTCCTTAAGAATAAATTTCACCCCTTATTTTTAGATAAATTCAGTGAGCCGGTTACGGGGTAATTATGTAGGTAATCAAAACTACATTAATTAAAAAAATATATCGCATATTATAGACTCTTTTTAAAACTTTGTTGGAAGCATGTTATTATGTTTTTTTTAAATAAAGGTCTTATATTTGCAGTTCTCTGGTTTAAAAGCTTTAATCAGCTGCATAGTAATATAGTCCAATTTGCATAATAATATGAGAGAAATTAAGTTCTCGTTAATAAAGACAATTAGATATTTCTCAAATTCTGCTATTTTTAACTTTCATTTTCTTTAGAATGATCCAAAGCAATTTCTAGAAATTTGTTCAAACCATCTAATTTTTCGGTATCAGTTTTTGCCGCCTGGAATTCCTCAAACCACTCACTGAACTCGTGATGATCCTTTTTCTGTGTCTCACTCAATATATTCCAGTATGACTCAAAGAGTGCCGAGAATTTTTGCGCAGAATTCAACATTGCCTTTTCAACAGCTAAAGTCAGTTCACCCGATGGCTGTTTTTCTAAAACACTTCTCAACAACTCTGTCGAAATGTTGTTATTATTGTTGCTCAATATTATCTCAAAATTACTGTACATTTTTTGTACGTCTGCGATTAATGGAGTTTTATCACTCGATGTTGAATCCGTTAGGCGTTTTAAGAGATCCGCTAATTCTGTTATGAGCGTTTGTATATAGTCAGTTTTATCAGGAAGTGCCTGCAAGTCTCCAAGTAGGCCGTCAACGAAGTTCGCTGTTTGTGTTATAAATGTTTCTAGGTAGGAATCCATAGCATCTAATGCAGCGAAAAGTAATGTTCTCTTTAACAGAGGGAAGTTTGGTTCTACCCTTTTCGGCACCTCCTCTACTTCAGCGATTGTGACGTCTCTTTGAGGGTAAGCTGTGATGAGCTGCAAGAAAAAATTAATATCTATTTAATTTTTATTCCAATGTACACAGCGGAGTAAAGACTCGCCTGCACTGTTACAAAAACGCATAAAAATATTAAAGCTGTTGACTTAGCCATAGCTGTGACTTTTGTTTTGAGGACGGTATGATGGTTCTGTGTAGAAATAAACCAACAATTTGTTTATATACTTATTTATTGCCTATGGAAAACTATTTGAATTTCATTCTCTTCGTAAAAAATGCTTGGGACTCGGTACAGGCAGCTCTTACTAAGAAATTGTTAAGCGCTTTAGGCAAACTGGTAGCTGTCTAACAAGTTTTCAGCGGAGCAAAACTGAAATAATTAAACTAATATTATATTAATACAAACATATATATAGCTATTATTTGAAAGAATTTCACAAAAGCTCTTTCTATTTACATTTTCTTATGTTTCAGAGGAAGCTTTAAATAACCCAATCGTTTTCCGTATGATGAGTTATTCTGCTCGAATATTGCAATGCAACTATTTTTTATATTGTTAGTTCAAACGAAGCCGTGAAACTGGTATTGAAATGCTAATAATTGTGTGATATAAACAAAGCAGTATGCGCTTTATCTACATCTAAAGGGTTTTCCAATAAGAGGTGTATTTGGAATAATCTGTTATTCTGATAGATCTCACTTTTGAGCTATGCCAGCAATAAATATGAAAAGAAATGTATTAAAACTATTAAAATTCATTATAAAAATGGTTGAAACTTGGCAGAGACGGTTCGTAAAACTAAAATAATTTTCGGTCGTCGTGAGGTATCTTTTACCTTGTTATGTTGATAAGTTACTGATGTGAAGAATAAAACACGCGCACGTCGTTGTTGTAGCCCAAAGTATTGAATTTTAATTTTTTATTTAAATTAATTTTCAATAACTTTTTGGGTGTTAGTACGACACCAAGATTTGAATCCGAGGCTTTCGAATAGCAGTGCGCAATGCTTACTACTCGGCTACCGCGGCTGCTATCTCCGTGGCTATCTCAATAAGCAAAACTGTCTCATTTGGGCTTGTAAAACCCAAGATGGATTTATTGTTGAAAGGCTTTACCATCCTCAACATGCAACTGTTTGAAGTCTTTTATGGTTCTGCGGAGTTCTTAGACATTACTTTTTCGAAAAGGTGCGACAATTACGGTGACGGGATTGCGCTACGGAGAAATGCTTATTGATTTTTAATGGCGGAAATTTGATAGTATTGATATGGAGATACAAGCAACAAAAGCATTGATCTTTTAAGAGAAAAGTTTCAAGACTATGTTATCTCTAGAAAAGGTAATCATCATTGGAAACCGAGATCTTTCGATTTAACATATTGCGACTACTTACTTTGGGGCCACGTTAAAGACAAGGTATACACCAACAAGCAAATGTCGATTAAAGTCCTCAAACATGCAATTCGTTGAGCTATTTGGGGGTATACAGCAACCATTTTGGGATTTTGTGATGGAAAATTTCATAAAAAGGATACGATCTTGTTAGCTTAGCCGTGGCGGCCATTGGGCTGATATTGTTCTATTATATTAACGACATATTTTTTTCTTTACATTGAAACAAACATCCGGTCATTAATCTCAAAAAATTTAATATTTCTTTTAATATAAAATTAGAAATCTTATTGAAAAATTCTGTACATAAGTAGACGTCGGCGAGGCCTATTGTTTTGTAAGCGAGTACGAGTATACGCCACGTGGTTGGTTCTGACAGCGTGTAAGCAGCACAGTCTTCTTTGACTCTTAGCAGAATATAGACTATGTTGAGTATAAATAGCTGCCGATTTAGGAGCACATCATAGCAGGAATATTGACTAACGCAACAGGATAAAGTTGTATATGCGACTCCAGTATTGGGTAGTCAACCTCAGGTTAAAGCAGGACAGTTGTATAAAACAGATGAAAAATCGTGTACTCCTTCATTCTAACTCCAACAGTTTCCCATATCGACCGGGTTTGCCTTGACTTGTGACAGGCCAAGTTTTGCTCCCACATTGACGTGACCTGTCTATGAATTAATTCCTTAAAGTATACGTATATCACAACCACCCCTTTTCCTTGAGTACTCAAGATCAAAATGCAATTGTTTCAAGCAATTCGTAGAAAAGTATAGGACTCTAGCAGTGACCCGATGGTTGTTAACTATAGAGTACTGGCCAAAACGAGCTCTAATTGACCCCGGCGAACTAATTGCTCACACCATCCAGACTTACAAAAAAGTAATTATGTAAGTTAATTTGTATAATTGCGGCTCTCGGCGGGGAACTTCAACCTCTGCGGGAACTGAAATAGAAGTTTCTCACCAAAATCCATCAGTTATTCGCAGGCAGCTTAGTATAAACCATAGGTCCCTCCATTTTTCTGAAAATCTTCGAGACGAGCAGCACGAATTAAAGCAGAAGATCGGCCTAAGAACACACTTCAAAAAGGTCCAACGTATGTATTATAAACTTTTGAAACTGGATTTAGTGCTAACGTTCCGTCAGAAGCAATATGACCGCTGAGCCCCAACTTTACCTTACTTTGAGTCACAAACTTTACCAATGTCGTCGTAAATTTCGCAAAGGTCTTACAAATTTATTGGTTTAAATTCCAGCACTTAATGTATAACATGTTTGCAAATTCGAATTTTGGTTTATAAGCTGCGATATTTGAGTAGAAAAGATTGTTTCATCAGCATAGGGTTAACTATTTGTACTACGGTTCTTTGACTTTTATAAGTTGAGCAAGGATATTAATTTTAAATCTTAATTGGTGGCAAAGGGTGGGTACAATCTCTTCTTCGAATAACGGTATTGCCATTTACACTCATCACAATTATTAGAAGTGAGTTCGATTCTACGTAATCCGAGCACGAAAATGTTAGGCAGAAAGCAGTTGTAAAGGGTTTTCCGATAATGCCATTTTTCTCCGAATATCAAAATAACACCTCTTATTATTTTTTTATTTCCGTTATCGCTCAAAATTTTGTGTAAAAAGTAGAAAATTCTTTTGCAATTTATTTCCCCTGCAAAGTGGCAAAATACCTTCATTGACTTAATAAAACTTTTTGGTGTTTTGTATTTGATAAATGAATTTCACATACAATGACTGCTGAGTACTGATCGTAAAATATTTTAGTCAAAACTTTTGTTAAAGTTTTGAAAATGTTTTAAGGAAATTTAAATCAAAAACAAAAATAAAAAACTGAATTTTAGATGTTATATTTTTGGCGAACAAAATCCAAAATGTCTGACAAAATCTTTAAATAGTTTAATTTTTCTTAAGGAGCTAATTTGATTTAGGTATTAAAATAAAGTAAAGTGATTTTTAATTTCATTAGTTAATTTCTCTTGTGTTTTATGTGTCTATTGAGAAGATAAATATTCTTCACTAAAGTTTTTGCCAGGGACCCATGCAAACATATTATAAGCAGCAACCTACATCGTTAACCATTTCTCAACAAAATTTTCCCTAGAAATCATAGTGTTTCATTGAAAATCCGTTTCAAGTTTGCTTTTATTATTTATTTCTGCACGAAAATTCATCTTCTTAACCATAGCTGAAAGTAACGTGAAAATAAATGTTTCATCACACCCAAATATTTGCGCTTGATTTAACATTTCATGATTTTTTTTACAATATTTACATAATACAGTATTTTACAGATTTATTTCTAACCGTTATCTAAATTCTGAAGTACTCAAATTCGTTAACTTGAATCTTTACCAGCTACATCAAGTGCAATGCGCAGAAACTCTTCAAAACCCTTCAACTTATCTTGACTAGTTTTGCCAGCTTTGAATTCGTCATACCAGTCACTCAAACGTTTATGCTCTCTCTTTTGCTCGTCACTTAATGAGTTCCAGAATGGTTCATAAGCTTCAGTGAATTTTCGCACAGCACTTGATACCGAGTTCTCAATACTCCAATTCAATTCGAGTAAATGTAACGTTTTCAGCACACTCTTCAATACCTTTGTCTTATTACTATCATCATTCGCCTTCAAGATGTTATCAAAATCTTCATACAGTTTACCGATTTCGCTAATGATGGATGCTCGATTGGATTTATTTGCTTGCCCCAGACACTCCAATAAACCTGTTAGCTGTGGTATAAGCTCTCGAATGTAGTCATTTTTTTCGGGGAGTGCCTTCAATTCAACGAGTACATCTTCAACGAAATGCGCAGTTTGTGTTATGAGCGTTTCAAAATATTTATCTACGACATCAAGGGTGGTCAGAACAACGGGTTCAAGGGATTTTATGAAATTTGGCTCTTCGGTGGCTACGCCGTTTCTTTGGGGATAGGCTGTAGTGAGCTTTGAGTGAAATAAAATTATAATATTTATTTATATATGTATATAAATGTACAGTATATTTTTTTATATGTGTAACGATTTTGCTCGGCTTACCTGCAGCGTTAAATAAACAGTTAGAAATAATAAAATCGTTATTTTAGCCATTTGTGTTTTTCCTAATTACTTACTAACTGACGAATTTGATAGTAATGATATGAAATACGCCAACCTTTGTTTATATATGCACCTGCGTTCGAAAATCTTTCATATTATTCAGTAAGGTTTCTCAATTGTGTTCATCCAATACTAAGAAATAGCTTAGCATTTCAGACTAACTGGAGGCTGGCTAACCAGTTTTGAGATGAGAAAACATAAAATTATTATTGTCAGTACATAGCTAAGAGAAGTGGTGTAATGAGTAGGAGAGATTTGCATTGAATTAATTTAGAGAGTTCATTTTTTGTTTGAAAAGAGCTTGGGAAGCCGCGATAATAGTTATATGAGCTTGATTTCGTAGGAAAGTCACCTCTTGCTATCTCTCCAGTCGGGAATAGCCATCTTTAGATATACATGGTTATCTATTTTGTGTTTTCGATAGAAAAATTAAATAATAAAAAAATATATGTATACAGGTCAAAAATAGTGAGTTACCACTAACGTTTCAAATTGACAAAGAAGTAAGTTCTAATCATACCCCTGTAGGGGAGTTCTCTATCGTATTATAACGATTCTTGGATTGCAAATACGACTTTGCGATAATTTTACCAATTTAAATATTCGGTGTTCTTATTTTAACGATATTCGCTATCGCTGTTGTCGTAAACTACTCGACAAATCGCTAACTAAGCGACGAATATTTTTAAGCTGTTAGCGACATCGACAAATAGTTTTTTTTTTTTAATTAAGTAATGTTAGTCGGGAAAATGCCTAAGTTATATAATATAAAAATCAAAATAAAATAATTGACAAAAATTAGAGATGATGAGGACAGAAGTTGAAGATCGTTTCCACTTGAATGCAACTCATGTTTTTGATAGTCAACAAAAAGGCAGAAATTAACAACATTATCTACAAAAAAAAAATAGGTAAAAACATAAAATAATTTTTCAGTTTTAACATTATTAAAATGTTTAAAATTTCTAACCGTCTTGCGATTCTTAGCAACTAGATGCTACCAACGTCTCGTCGGAGAGCAATAGAGAATTCTTATAAGTCAGTCGTCAGTAAACCATTAGGGCTATCGATTGCGAAGAAGCCTATGTCAACCTTCATGAATACTATTCTATAAGCGTGCAAATGTTTACAGTAAACTTTTTTCAATTAGTATTGAAGTAATTTGTACATACATACCAAAAAGCGCGGCGTGATTATATCATTTGGAACTCCGCTATAGAGCGAAGAGTCATACATGAAAGTGCAAACCATAAACTTTGTAATGTATTGGTATTCATTTAATAAAACCATTTCTATAAGGAATTTATTTGTTCTTGTCATTCTTCTTTGTGCTTTTCGCATATTTTGACGTTTTCTTAAGTTGTGATGCCATCATGTTAATAAAATGGATAAATCGTGTCGATAGAATTGCACTTCTGGTCCCAAGGGTAAGCTTTTTGGTATAATGGCCTGTTTTCAATTATTTGAGAGGCCCAAATTCCTGGAGTAAAAAGTGTGCCTCGTCGATGTATTTCAGAAATTAACGTTTCCTGCTTACTGTCCAGCTTCTTTCAGTTGTTGTATGAGCAAGATGTTGTGAGATGTTGTGCAAGTCCAAGTGCCGCTATAAAGTCCCAGCCCCTTGAATGTCAAGAAAAAGGCACAATCGGGACTTCAGAACGTGCAACAATATACGATATCTAACCGATCCAGTCTCTCAAAAATGCTTTAAGATTGTTCCAATTGTTTGATTAACTAAGTGATTATGTGCCCCTTAAACCCTCTTTAAAGCAGGAAACGTGATCACGTTTGAGTCACCATTTTTGTAATAGGTTTTGAAAATTTTAAGGCGTCGTACCGGATTTTTAACTAAAATTATACTGGTGCCTAAATTAGTGCAGTTAATAGTTGTTGGTTAATAATGAATTGACTAATACAACAACATATTACATTGCTGATGTAGTGGTATATCACTCGCTTGTTAAGTGAGGACCCGTTAGTTCCATCACTGCCATAAGAAGTCGGATGAGGAGATATGGTGATCTCCGAAACAGCTGCCACTTCTACCATTTTTCTTTGTAGTAGAACAAAAAATTTTCAATTCACGCAAACAAAGCACGCCTTTCGCTCACCAAAAAACTTATAACAAAATTTAAAAACATGGACACAAAAACCATTATGAACAAACCGGTTTGGGACGAAAGTTTTTGTACTGTACTTTTGAAACCATGAAATGACTAACCATACATATACGTTATGCTTATAAAACCATTTCACATAATAACCAAGGTTGCTTCTTTTTAAGAAAGCTCAGTATAAATTACTCAAATAATAATTCCTCTGGTTTTCTGTTCAACAAATTAATTTAAAAATATATCTGCATAAGCAATGACTGTTTCTCGTAAATATAACATTATCGTGTTAATCCTCCACTTTTCATCCCTCTGGTAAAGTAAAACACCTTCGCGTTGTACTTTGTGCACTTGCCGGGTATATACTAAACGTGCGTGAGGCGGAAATCTCCCAGGAACGATACAAAGAATAAATTCATATATTGGGTTCTCAAAAAATTTTTTTGAACAGCTTGTGACTGCTCAACTGTATTCTTTATTCGGACATATAAAAGCTGTTTTCGGTTTGCTTTAGAAAGAAATTAAGCGTAATTTCATTTATATTTGTGTGTTTGGCGTCAATTTTAATATGGAACCCACAAAAGAACATTTTCGTGCAATTGAATACATATATTATTTCCTTGAAAGTTTTCTAAAAAGCTGCTTAATTTGTATAGTGGTAAGGCCTTAAAAGAACCACAGTATCGAAGTTGGTTTTGTCAAGTTCCGTTCGGGAGATTTTTTACTCAAAGATAAGCCACGTTTATGTCGGCCGAGTGAGCTTGATAATGACGATATCAAGGCTTTAACCGAATCAGATTATCATGTAACTGGGCATAAGATTGGAGAGAAGTTAAGTACACCAATATCAACCGTTCACAATCATATACTATGCCTTAGACTGGTAAAAAAAAAACAAAAACATTAAGAACCACATGAATAGGAAGACATTCATTTAAAAAACCGCTTCAAAGTTTGTGATATGCATCTTAAACGCAATGAATGATGAAGCGCCACAAACCACTGATGTTCACCAAAAGAAGATTACGCTGTCAGTCTGGTGGGATTGGAATGGTGTGGTATATCTTGAGACACTTCCAAGGAAACGAACGCCTGCTGTGAACAACTGTACTAATTTAATATATCCATTAAACAAGAAGCGGCCAGAATTGGTCAATCGTAAATGCTAGACCGCACATTTTGTCCTTGATCACTCTCCAAAAACCGAGTGAGCTTGGCTGGAAACTGTTGATGCATCCATAATAAATTGTTTCGATCTTTGCACAACTCATTACGCGATAAAACTTTCGAAATTTCTGACGAGACTATAAAAACGCACTTAGTTCAGTATGTTGCAGATAAAGGCGAGAAAAGCATGGAATAATTGATTAAAGTTCATTATGAATTAGAAAATAATTTATTTACTCTCTATTAAAAAATCGCCGGTTCTTTTGGTTCAATCCAATACTTAAAAAATGGAATATAAAGAATACTAAATGTTTAAATAATATTTAATTAGAGCACAGCAACCGCGATTTTATATGATACTAAGCCGTCTCAGAACGGCTAATCATTTTTTATGAAGGGCTTTTTTTAAAATGTCATAAAAACGCTCGGATGGGTTGACCGATATATATTTATTTTTAAATCGTCCGATTTACATGAAATTTTGTCAATAGGTAGCTTACTTTGCACTGAGTAGGCAATTGAAAAAAGGAAGTCGTTTCTCGACGAACATCGCAGTATATGGTCCCGAAATATGGACGACTCGACAACGTCGTGAAAGCGGCTCGGGTATCTTTGGGAGAAAAGTCTTGTGAACGATATATGGTCTTCTGCGAGTTGGCAAAGGCAAATAACATAGACGGTGGAACAATGTGCTGTACGACGATATTGGTTCAGCAAATCAAGAGACAGCTGCTATAGCGGCTAGGTCATGTCGGCCGTTCAAAGCTTCAGCTTTGGAAGTTTTCGCTGGAGTACCTGGTGGTGGAAGGAGAAGAAGACCTCCAAAGGATCAGATGGGGAGCGACACAAATTCACTTTGTTTTTCTAGGTAGCGCCAATCAGCGAAAGGATGGATGTATTACTTCGTCTACGCCAGTAAGGTAGAATTGATGTGAAATTATTTTCAGACAACTAAGGATTTTTATTAAATGTATCATTAGTACATCTATAAAGATTTTTGAAATCTACTAGTTATGTCCGCCTAAAAGATGTTATTCAAACAACTTAGTCGCAGTTTTATAAATTTAATGAATTAGCTTTGAAATTCTTTCTACAATATGCTGTAGTTATGGGCCTCAGAATTTCATAAAAGAATTGTGGGGTGAACATTATAATAAGTAGTTTTCATATTACGATTTCGGTTCATTGTATCGGATCGATCGTATGAGTTTTGAAAACTACATCTACATTTCGCAAAACGTTAGGTTGCCTTGTGCTACAGTGAGTAATGGACATAATAACAAAGATCTAAAATATGATTAATATGTAAAAATTATGCAATATATACAAATAGACAGAGAAAGAAGATGGTGTCGTTGCTAAAAACACAAGACCAGTACAAGTATAATATTTCATGGAGTATAACAATTTGAAAATTCAAGTCTTTTTAAGTTTTCAACCATTGTAAATATGTATGCATGCTCGATAAGAGTTTTATAGACACTTGAAGTTCCATGCGCTTTCAACTTCCTCATCAAACGGTGTAACAGAAGATGTCTCAGTATTAAAAATATTTCTTCGGGCCATAAATAAATCATATTCATTTAATAGAAGAATGTCTACTTATATACATACATATGTAAATATGGGTTTTTGTTTATTTCTGAACCATGGCGATCCTCTTCGTATTGATGTTCCGCTACAATGAACTACAGCATATCGTTTTTAAGTGCAGACAAACGTATTCTTTTATATACGAGGCGCTTAACAAAAGTTCGGTAAATTGCCCGTAAATTTTTTTTTATATTTCTTCGTAAACTTTGTCCTTTTTTATCTTCTCTACATAATCATCACTGATTCATATGTATTTCTTAAGCATATATATCCACTTCTGAAGCTTATTAAGTTCAGCACTATCCGCATTAGTTAACTCCTCGTTGCTATTATAGACCTTTCCTTTTAATTTTTTTTTTAATTTTTGGAAATAACCAAAATATAATTGGCACTACATTCAGGGAATATGGTGCTGTATATATTTCTTCGATCCCAGAGATCGCCATAAACTTACTCGTTATTTCAGCAGTGTAGGATGGCGCGTTGTTATGTTAAAAAAAGCGCGGCGAGTCCTCTTTCTTCCTGTTTTCCAACAAATTTTTCAAACCATTTTTAGTAAGCACTCTTCGGAGTACCATTTTGCAGCTACTTTTTGACCCGTTTCCAATGGAATATCAACTACGATTTTAGATCGGGTGAAGTTAACTGACATCATTACTTTTGCTGCTAATTTTTGTTACTTAGATTTTACGGGTGGGTTTGCTTCTGTTGGGCTTTACACCATGGACTGCTGTTTGATTTCTGGATAGTACTTAAAGACTTTACTACTAAGTTGGTCAGTCTATTTTCGGTTTTTTTTTAGGAAAAATTGTGATGAATGCACTCGAGCTTCTTTTTGAGCCTCGTTTAAAATTCGTGGTACCCATTGAGCAGGTTTCTTCGTGTATCCCAGATGATTACTTAATATTGGCTGTATAGCCATTGGCAACAATTTTTTGTATCATTTGTGGGTCTTGGTCAATTTTAGACTTCGCCAGAGATGCTTCGATGTATCCTCAGCCATCTTGCGGTTTCTAGTCTCCATTTGAGCCGGTTGTTCTAAAATTTGAAAGGCAATTGATAAAGTTTTTAAAAGATTTGAAAGGACTGGATCGGTCACATATATTGTAAGGCCAGTGCAACAGTGTTTTGTTCGATCCATCTTAAATATCGCTAGTGGAAGCGAAAAAGTAGCGAAAGACCGGAATGTGTCAATTTCTCAACGTTGTCAAGGGGTAGAGATTTCTAACGGCTCCTAATGACGTATTTTGTAATTGGACTTACAACTACATCCATATAACACTAAACGTGCCGTCATGGGGGGTCATTGGGGGTCTTTTGACCTCCCATAACATAGATTTTTCGTAAAAAATTGTTTATTTAATATTGGAAATTAGTTGCAACATGATTTCCGATTTCGTAAAAATTAAACACATATTTTGTTATGTGCTTTAAAAAAACAATCGACTAATTACATATTTTACATAGAATGTGTTTCTACTTCGTACATTTCCCGCAAACAAATTTTTTACAAATCACACAAGTTTGTGTTCTTTTATCTTAATTGACATATTTTTCTGGATTGAGAATTTTTAGTGGAGCTACTGATATTCCTTGTCGTTGACTTTCTCTTCCTCCACAAATTTCGAGGTGAAATTTGTCCACACCTAAATGTTGGATTCGTTGCTTCTGGCATTGAACCGCTCAAATCTCAAAATTTCTGAGAAGTCGGTTCCACACATTGGAAAAAAGAGAGGACCCCATTTCAAATTCCACAGCTGAGAAATGAAAAATTATTTCCCTGATAAGCTCCACGAGCATATAACACTCCAACGAATGCTTGTAATAATTGCAAGCTCCCATTCAGTCCCCAAAACTCGTAAAGCTTCTGTTTCTGTATATTTCTTTATAATTCTTTATTTTCAATAATCGTGTGATTTATTATCACAAAAAATGCGGTTGAAGCTTTACCAGACATGAAAATTCTCTGGGCGTATGCTGTTACAGCCTGATACTTCTCTGTAAGTGGCCCTCCGATTGCCGTCCCTCCTCGTATTCGCTTCCAAACAATTCCATCAACACCCGTGTGTGTCTTCAAAATCTGTCCACTGTCACTTTCAGAATCCGATAAAAATCTTTGGCTCTTCTGTCTTCCTCGGAGATTAAAAAAATACTCATTTTCATCGGCAACCACATTAACACCCTAAATTGCCGCATTGTCTCGAAAATCATTTTGCCTTGATCCTCTTTTGAAATTGAATATTCTACACCTGAATTCACTTCACATATTTTCAAATTCTTTCCAACTCCCTGCGGACATATTCAAAGTTGTAGTGAAACACAAGTCCAATTGAATGTAACAGAAATTTTCAAAATGTAACTAAATCTGTCGTGTATTGCAGTTGCTTGGATGAGTCACTTGAGATGCGTTTATGAATTCATTACTAAATTTTCTACATGCAGTTGAAAAAGTTAAAGTCAATTCTCAAAGAGGTCATTTGACCCCGCTTGGTAGCTTTAGTGATAAAGTCCATTTCACACAATAACTGAAGCACAGTTGATCATTCACAATGCTTGTCGATTGGGTGCGTGAATTACAAAGAGGATTTTTCGAAGTAATTTCTCTTCATCGAAGAGGCCAATTTCTTACTACGAAGATATGCAAAATCCACGTAGTTGGTTCTCCAAGAATCCTCAAATCCTCCTCGAGAGGCGGTCATTTGAATGAAAATAAACAAGTGGAATTTATACCAAATTTCGATGTTCCACATTAGATTCTCTCGTTGGTAATTAAACAAAATTACTTCTAAGCTAATAGCAGTAAAATATACAGAAAGTTATCATGAAGGGTAATTCATTTCGAGAATCCCTTCTTTTTTAGAGAAAAAATACAAGAAAATGAAATTTAATTAGGAATGTTTATTTAGAAAGTGGCGCCATCTTGTTGAAACCAAATGTCGCCGATATCACGTGCTTCAATTTTAGGCATTAAATAGTCCGTCGACGGTCTCCATTGCCGCTTACATCCTCATTGGCATCATTTATGAAAAAATATGAACCGATGACTTCACCGGTCCACAAACCACACCAACCCGTTGTTTCTTCTGGATGAAATATCAGCTCTTGATTACATACCCATTGAGGCTGACAAAATTTGGCTCGAATACGTCGAATCTTCTATAAAGTTTCAAAAGCCCAAGAGCAAAGCGATGTCGCTTGAATAGGTCGAGCGCTTCAGTTCCTTTACAAATTGTATTTTGTATGCTTTTAATTTAAGATCTCGAAGTAAAATGCGCCAAGTCGTGCCATGCGTTAGTTCGAATTGCTGTGAGCGGCGCGGAATCGACTCTCCACGGTCTTCTTGTACATTCTTAGCTATGGCCGCTACATATTCTTCACTGTTTGCTAGACACGGTCTCTTCGGTCGAATTTTATCCAAGAATGAATGCTGTGTCTCAAGATGGGTGATGGTGTTGCGAATAGTACGCTCAGTAGGCCGACTATGTTGACTATAATGCGCGAAGTGCGCGAAACACATTCTTTGCAAAACGTGAATTTTCAGAATAAAGTTGAACAATTTGTAATCCTTGTTCATACGTAAATCTTTCCATGATGAAATGCCAAACAATATTGAACAAAAATAATATGACAGCTTGACATGACTCACGCGTGATCTGTCAAAAAGAGACTATTGAAGAGGGTATATTTACATTGGCTATGCTTCTAGAAATTTGTGTGATGTTACCTTAAAGATTTTCCAAGATATTATTAGTTTCACCAAAGAAGAGATGCAATGAATTGCTGGAGAAAAATTACAGTCGGAGGAACACCTCAACTCCAGACCAGATTTGACTGCTGATATAGAATTGGCACCAATTAGCAAAAGTAAGTAGATAATGGTTGATTAAAAGAAAGAGGAAAACATAATAATCTCGTGTCATAGTGGTTACAGTCCAATACTTATACGGCTGGACCGATTTATTAGATATTAGCCCTGTCTGTAATGTCATTATTGTGAGCTATGTGTTACATGGGTCGAACCAAGGCGAATTTACACAAGGTATTAGCAAGAATACAAAAACAAGAAGTGTATGTATTTTGTTGGTGTAATCGTATGTGCGAAAAGTCAAAACCTAAAATTGGTCAATGTATTTTGTTAGTGTAATAAAAATTTCAAGGCGACCTCGGTAGCCGAGTGGATAGCATTGCATACTGGCATTCGGAAGGCTCGGATTCACATCCCGTTGCCACCGACATCCAAAAATAATTGAAAAATAATTTAAATAAAAAATTAAGTTTAATTTTTTAATTGCGGTCTCTCCTCAGCAGAGAACGTTCACCCATCGAGTGAATTTCTGACATGAAATAAAGGCTCCTCGTAAAGAAACTATCAGCCGTTTGGAGGCGGCAGTAAACTGTAGGCCCCTCCATTTGTTGGAAAAACATCAAGACGCAAAACCAGCCAATTGGAGGTGGAGCTCGGCCGAAAAATTGCTTTAGTAGTAGCAAAGTGCGAATTAATATAAAGTTTGTAATGTCAAAATCTATTTCTTATGTATTTTGTTTATGTAATTTGTTGAAATGGAAGGAAGAACAAGCAATCATATGATCTTCACCTTCTATAAATTCGCCTTGGTCTCTCTATTTGCTGGATGAACATCAAGACGCATCAAGACACTGCATATTGGAGAAGGCGATTGGCCGAAAATCGTTTCAGTGGTTATAAAGCGTCAATTAGAATCATATACATATGTACGTAATGTACAATTCTTAAAGATTTAGAGCTAAAGTAAATTATCATTGTGAAACGGATGTTTATACATACATATGTATGTAAGTATGATTATTACATATATTCACATCTAAATATATGTACAAGTAAAATAAACAAATGTAGTACGCTATGTATGTATGTGTGCGCATAATGTAGATATTCACAGTTTGCAGATATACTAAATATGTGCCAGTTACATTCGTCTTCGTACATACAAGAATAATTCGCTGATTTTTTTTTACAATCGTCCATATCTGCACATACTCGGAAGCTAATAATAACGCTCATACACATATACTTATGTATATTCAAATGTATAAGTATATATGGTTATAGTTCTACTAAATAAAATATATACGGTCGGCGTTATAATATTCCTTTCCCTTAGATGTTGAAATCAGTTGGATTTTGAACTCGTCGCTGCTTGACCATTACTTACGGAAAACTAGTAACAATTTTCAAATGTTTCCAAGGAGTTGGTGGTTCGGTTTTTTCTTGGTATCTGCTATATTTGGGGTATCCCTGTCGAGCGTGTGTACAAAAAGAAATACATTTGGAAATATAATTCGAACATGTTGCACCGGTTATCAAAATGTGAAAAATAAATGCAAACCAATTTGTACGAACGGTTGTGAGAACGGTTTTTGCTTCAAGCCAAATGTATGCAAGTGCAACAAGGGTTATGATAAATTTAATAATTATCGGTAGGTTTGAAATTTGTTCGTTTCTGCAGAAAATGTAGCAAAGGAATAAATTATAGACTGTAGAAAAAATAGTAAAATAATAATAGTTGTGTTAATTTGATTTCAATAAAAAAAGCCCAACAAATTTTTCTTTTGAACAGTTGCGTCCCACACTGCAACAATTGCACAACTGGCGGTTTCTGCAGTGCGCCGGGCGTTTGTACGTGCTATACAAATTACGCTCGGAATGCCACAGGTCACTGCGCACCTACCTGTAAGCAGAATTGTAAGAATGGCAAATGCATTGCGCCTAACAAATGCAAGTGTTTGCCGGGCTACAGCGCAACCGCGAAAGGCGTTTGTGAGCCCCAATGCGCTGATGGTTGCAAGAATGGCATTTGTGAGGCTCCAAATAAGTGCCACTGCAAAGCTGGCTATGAAAAAGATACCAATGGGAAGTGCCAACCAATTTGCGTAGGCGGATGCGAAAACGGTACTTGTCGCGCACCCAATGTTTGTGAGTGTTCAAAAGGATATCAAAAATCGAGTAGCAAAACATGTGTACCTCATTGCGCGAACGAATGTACCAACGGATTTTGCGCGGAGCCAGATGTTTGTAAATGTGACGATGGATACAAAATGATTGCGGCTAAATGTGAACCGATTTGTTTAGATGTCTGTACAAATGGCCACTGCGTAGCCCCTGAAACCTGTGAGTGCAGTAAAGGATATTCGATGAACGCTTCCAACATTTGCGAGCCTGTTTGCTCCAGCGGCTGTCCCAATGGCCATTGCATAGCGCCTGAGACTTGTGAATGTAACAACGGATACTCCATGACCGCTTCCAATATTTGTGAACCTGTTTGCTCCAGCGGCTGTCCGAACGGCCATTGCATAGCGCCTGAGACTTGTGAATGCAAAAACGGATATTCCATGACCGCTCCCAACATTTGCGAGCCTGTTTGCTCCAGCGGTTGTCCGAATGGCCATTGCAAAACGCCTGAGACCTGTGAATGTAGCAACGGATATTCCATGACTGCTCCCAATATATGTGAGCCTGTTTGTTCAATTGGTTGTTCAAATGGTTACTGCGTAGCGCCTGAGACCTGTGAGTGCAGCAAAGGATATTCGATGACCTCTCCCAATACTTGTGAGCCTGTTTGCTCCACCGGCTGTCGGAATGGTCATTGCATAGCGCCTGAGACCTGTGAGTGCAGCAAAGGATATTCTCTGACCGCTCCGAATGTTTGTGAACCTGTTTGCTCCAGCGGCTGTTCGAATGGTCATTGCATAGCGCCTGAGATTTGTGAGTGCAGCAAAGGATATTCTATGACCGCTCCGAATATTTGTGAACCTGTTTGCTCCAGCGGTTGTCCGAATGGCCATTGCGTAGCGCCTGAGACCTGTGAATGTAGCAAAGGATATTCCATGACCGCTTCCAATATTTGTGAACCTGTTTGCTCCAGCGGCTGTTCGAATGGTCATTGCATAGCGCCTGAGACCTGTGAATGTAGCAACGGATATTCCATGACTGCTCCGAATATATGTGAACCTGTTTGCTCCAGCGGCTGTTCGAATGGTCATTGCATAGCGCCTGAGACCTGTGAATGTAGCAACGGATTCTCCATGACTGCTCCCAATATTTGTGATGCTGTTTGCTCCAGCGGCTGTTCGAATGGTCATTGCATAGCGCCTGAGACCTGTGAGTGCAGCAAAGGATATTCTATGACCGCTCCGAATATTTGTGAACCTGTTTGCTCCAGCGGTTGTCCGAATGGCCATTGCATAGCGCCTGAGACCTGTGAATGTAGCAAAGGATATTCCATGACCGCTTCCCTTATTTGTGAGCCTGTTTGCTCCAGCGGCTGTCCGAATGGTCATTGCATAGCACCTGAGACCTGTGAATGTAGCAAAGGATTTTCCATGACCGCTCCCAATATTTGTGAACCAGTTTGCTCCAGCGGTTGTTCGAATGGTCATTGCATAGCGCCTGAGACCTGTGAGTGCAGCAAAGGATATTATATAACCGCTCCGAATATTTGTGAACCTGTTTGCTCCAGCGGTTGTCCGAATGGCCATTGCATAGCGCCTGAGATCTGTGAATGTAGCAAAGGACATTCCATGACTGCTCCCAATATTTGTGAGCCTGTTTGTTCCATTGGTTGTTCTAATGGTTATTGCGTAGCGCCTGAGACCTGTGAGTGCATCAAAGGATATTCTATGACCGCTCCCAATATTTGTGAACCTGTTTGCTCCAGCGGTTGTCTGAATGGTCATTGCATAGCACCTGAGACCTGTGAATGTAGCAAAGGATATTCCATGACCGCTCCCAATATTTGTGAACCTGTTTGCACCAGCGGTTGTTCGAATGGTCATTGCATAGCGCCTGAGACCTGTGAGTGCAGCAAAGGATATTCCATGACCGCTCCCAATATTTGTGAACCTGTTTGCTCCAGCGGTTGTCTGAATGGCCATTGTATAGCGCCTGAGACTTGTGAGTGCAGCAAAGGATATTCGAAGAGCGCTTCCAATATCTGTGATCCTGTGTGCACCAGCGGTTGTTCGAATGGCCATTGTATTGCGCCTGAGAGCTGTGAGTGCGGCAAAGGATACTTGATGAGTGCTTCTAATTTTTGTGAACCTGTTTGCTCCAGCGGCTGTCCAAATGGTCACTGCTTGGCTCCTGAGACCTGTGAGTGCAGAAATGGATATTCCATGACAGCCTTCAATATCTGTGACCCTGTTTGCTCCAGCGGTTGTCCAAATGGCCATTGTATTGCGCCTGAGAGCTGTGAGTGCAGCAAAGGATATTCGATGAGCGCTTTTAATATATGTGAGCCTGTTTGTTCCATTGGTTGTTCAAATGGTTACTGCGTAGCGCCTGAGACCTGTGAGTGCAGTAAAGGATATTCCATGACCGCTTCCAATATTTGTGAACCTGTTTGCTCCAGCGGTTGTCCGAATGGCCATTGCAAAGCACCTGAGACCTGCGACTGTAGCAAAGGTTATTCCATGACTGCTCCCAATATTTGTGAACCTGTTTGCTCCAGCGGTTGTCCGAATGGCTATTGCATAGCTCCTGAGACCTGTGAGTGCAGCAAAGGATATTCGATGAGCGTTTCCAATATTTGTGAGCCTGTTTGTACCAACGGCTGCCCTCATGGGCGCTGCGTTCTACCAGAAATATGTGAGTGTGAGGACGGTTCCCATATAGTCAGTCCGAATGCTTGCAAGAGGACTCTAAATATTCAAAAAATGTCTGTCATATCTACCACGACTGCAACACCTACGGTTTTAATAAGTGAAGTATACAGATCTACAGTAGAACACAGGAAACATTTTGATGACAACGAGGACGATGACGATGACGATGACGATGACGACGATGAGGAAAGCTATAGTGATGAAGATGAAGAAGGCGGAGATTTTTCTGGAGATTCTAATGAGAATAGTAGATTTTATAGCTCGGATCGTAGTTGTCGAAACCGTTGCTTCAACGGAACATGCCAAGAGGGGTTGTGTGTGTGTGAGAAAAATTATATATTGCGAAACCAGGACGGACACGACATCTGTGTTGAAGAAGTGACCAAAGCTAAGGCGTTGTCGGCACATTTTCGGCTATATATTATACTCGCTGTTCTTTCACTGCCCTTAGGATTGTTGGTATTACTTCTGCTTTGTCGCATTAGTTGCGAGAAGACCTACAATGTCGGAAAACGGGGTAAGGAGGGCAAATGTTTTGAATTTTTTTTAGTTTAATTAACATAATTTATTTGAACTTTGCAGAAAATCAATTGGGACTTAAGAATTTGTCACATAAAGTGGATATTGTGCGAATGCCTTAGTTCAGATCAATAATAAATATATATATATAATCTTTTAAATGTATGTATGTGTATCACATACTTTAGTATTAATGTTTATATGATCCTCAATTTTTAAATTTAATTTATAATTTGTTTGCAATTTTATTTTTAAGAATATTTAAATAAATTACGTTTTAACTAATATTTTTAAAACTTAGATTTTTCAACAAACACAAATGGGGTTAAAACTTTTGGCAGAATTTCATATGAAATCCACAAGTAAACTTAACTACTTATAATTTGTTGCTAATGATAAAAAGTTAAATAATCATAAATAACAAAAAATAATTCGCAAAAACGATTTTTGGTCGAGCCCCTTTTCCAGTAGGGACCTATAATTGTTTTATAATAAATAAAAAATGGAAATATTGGGAGTCATAAATGGACATTTTCATTGTTTTCTGTACGTTTAATATCACTAAACTACCAAAGGTTGGGCCGATTCGGTTAACATAAGGATCATACACGTACACTTGTCTGTATTTTGAAAGAAAATAATTCAGCCAAAAATTTACTAGACAGGTTTTGTACTTCACAAATTCATCAAATGTATTCCACTAAAACTTGCATAGGTATATATATGTATACATGTATATAGTCAAAACTAAGGTTCTATAGGTGTCAGCCTGAGCAGATTAATAACATATTTAAACGGAGACGGTTTGAAGAAAATGCCCACTTTCTAAAAAAAAATTGATTTACAAAAAATAAAATAAATAAATAATTATTGTACCTTCATTCCATTTTAAATATTAGAGGCTCCTGCGCCGGGTCTTTGATTTGACGAAATCTAATTTTTATGCTAAAACTAACAGAAATCGGCATGACGTATTAAAAAGAAAAGAAAGATGTGAAATAGTTGAGAAAAATCAAGAAAGTTGGCTTATGGTTAATCAATTTCTGAAAATACTTAAAAACTCCTTGTATAAGATTTACAAAATCTTTTATTAAAAATATTCTTGTATATTCCCCACCAGGCCAAACCCAAAACAAAAGCAAAACTAGAAATTAATTATCATTTAAATTAATATTTTTGCAAGTTGGAGCCTCAAAATGTCAAGATGCTGAAGCTATCTGAAATTATCATATGTAAAAAAATAAAAAATAAATCATATAAATATCTGCATAAAGAACCCCTGTTCCCATTAGCAAAAAATTTAAACAATCGATTTTCACAGGCTTTTCTTGAGGCCAATTGCGCAGTAGCCAAATTATTCGCCATAGACATGAATACGAGGTATGACCATTAAATAATGAGCGCGATTCCATAAAAACCGTATATTTCAAAGTTATTATACAACTCTGCCATCCCCCTCAAAGTAGTGCCCTTGGGCAGCTAAACAACGATTTCAGAGCGCTTTCCTTGATTCGTAACAATTCTGGAATGTCCGCGAGTACCCTCGTCACGGCTGCCTGTATGTCGTCAAATGGGTTGTTCTAGAGAACAAAAAAAGCCACAGGGTGACATATCGGATGAATAAGGCGGTTGTTGTAACACGTCGATCCCTTTACTGGGGCACGCTGAGGGTTTTGTGACACGGCGCGTTGTCATCATGAACGATCCAGCTATCAGCGAAGTCTGAGTGCACGCTGTTGACACTTTTTTGCAATCTTTCGAGTACTTGGCGATAGTAGATTGATTTACGGTTTGCCCCGATGGAAGAAATTCTTTGTGGACGATTCCTCACCTTGATTGTTCTCATGATCCGCGCCTCGTCTTACAGACTATCAAAAACAACAAAATCTTCCTGCCCGTCAACCCCAGCGTCTGTTTGTGCCAGCTCGCTGCGCAAAAACCAAATTGCAGGAGGGGGACCGAAAATTGTGGTTTCAAAGTGGCAATTATAAATATATTTGCAAATTTATTAACACACGCTACGCTTAAGTTTTACAACTTTTTGAATAAGACAAAAAATTCAAAATTAATTTATTTCTTAAATATTAAAAAAATATTTACAACACAGGTGTATTTAGAAAGTTTTTAAATATCACATCAACATCCTCAACACTTCCATTTACCGAAATTCAACTCTCTTCTTCTTCTTGCATATTGAGACCGTCCTCTTCACCCGCGCCTGACATGACAACGCCAAAACTTGGATTCTCTATCAAACGCACGCCATGTTTCTCACGGAATCGTCGACGTGCATATTCACGATACACCAAAAGCAACGCCAAGGAGCCCAGAGCTATAAGTAATAAAGACATGCCACCAATGGCCCAGCGTGGAAGGGACACACTGCTGTGATATATACAAATAAATCCTTTTTTTTGCTAATAAAAAAGAATATAAGACAATCTTACCGTACAACTTGCCCATTTATGACGCCCAACTCTGACACGCACGCACCTCGACGCTCATTGTAGACCAAACCCTGAACGCATTGACATATTCCATTGACATCACATTTGCCATTCAAGCAATTCCAATCATTGCAGTAGGCAACACAGACCGCGAGATCGGTGTCATTTGCCAAACTAAGACGATAGCCGAGATCACAACTGCACGCGTTCGCTCCAATACATCTACCATGACCGCAGTCTTGCTCACACTTCGGCGAACATTCGGTACGACTGCCGTTAAGAAATTCATAACCTGCGAGACAAACACACTCATCTGGTCGCAGGCACTCTGCGTTGATGCATGTCTCTTTGCAGATAGCTCGGCAACGATGCGGTTCGCTGGCGTTCGTTACACGATGGCCGTCACTGCACTGACATTTATTAGGCGCCACACACTTTCCATTCTCACAAGCGGGTCTGCAGTGGGCCACACAGAAATTGTGATGACGCGTCTCCTCATAACCAGTCCAGCACTCACACATATCTGGCTCCACGCAATTACTGTTTATACATTGCGGCAGGCAAATGGGATCACAGATGGCGTTCGAACCCTTACGTAGCCGGAAGCCCTCATAGCAGCGGCACACACCTCCTACCGTACAAATGCTGTTGATACACTTCTGGGCACAGTGCGGCTCGCAGCGACCCGTCAACCATTTCTTGGTGTAACCATCATCACATTGACAGACGCCCGGTGCTATACAGTGTCCATGGCCGCAGTCAAAATTGCATACGGGCTCGCATTCGTAGGATCGCTCGGAGTTCGGACGATAGCCACTGAAGCAGCGACATGTGTCTGGTGCCGTACATGTACCGTGTACACAAGAATGTGTGCAGACCGGTATGCAGAGATAGAAGAGCAAAGACTGATAGCCAGGTAAGCAGCTACAGACGCCAGGGCTAACACACTCGCCATTCTTGCAACCTCGTGGACAATGGGGAACGCACTCGAAGTGTGAGCCATTCCTAAAAACGTAACCTTCATTGCAAGTACATGTGTCGGGCGCGGAACAATACCCATTAATGCAGTCCTTTTCACAATTTGGTTTACAGACATGAGGCTCTACTTGTGTATAACCTTCATGGCACTCACATCGACCCGGTTGATTGCAAAAACCATTCTCACAGCCACGAGCACAAGTTGGCTCACACTCGGTACGAGAATCATTGCGATAAATGTAACCTTCTAGACAGGTGCACTGATTAGGTGCTGTGCAGTGCGCATTAACGCACTTATCCTTGCAGCTCGGCACACAGGCCAGTCCAATCAGATTATAATAGCCCGCTTCACATTTGCAGACGTTCGGTGCACTGCAATAGCCATTCGGGCAACCACCCTGACATACGGGCTCACACTTTCCCAACGTGCCTAACCGTAGCTCATAACCGCTGTGGCAGTTACACTCATTCGGGGCCTTACAAACACCATTTTCGCACGGCTCTTCGCAGATGGGCACACAGAGTCCCAGAGTCTCATTGCGCTGGTAACCAAAATTACATGTACATAACTCCTTCGAGTCACATCTCCCATTCGTGCAGTCGGTCAGACATTTGGTTTGGCAATCGGTGTTGCTGCCATTTATAAAGCTGTACCCCTCATTGCAAGCGCATTTCTCTGGTTCAAGGCAATAACCATTGATGCAAGGATCGCTACATTCTGCCTCACAGACGGTGCTGTTCTTCAGGTTATTAAAGCCATCGGCGCACAGACAAACATCTGGACGTACACATTTGCCCGTCTTGCAATCGACACATTTCGGCAGACAATCCCTATATAGAGAAAATAAGAAGTAAAAATTAGTTAAGGTGCAAGTGAGCAAATTAGTCGTTACAAGGCGACATTACACACTTACCACGACTTTGGGTCTCGTATATAGCCTTCGCAGCAAACCTCCTCTGTATCCGTGAACGTCTGTTTTGTGGGATGATTTTGTTAGAAAGTGAGACTTAAGAATGAAATTTGCTTACATCTTTTACAGTACGTAGTACCAGCGGATTATAATGGGGTGAGCAAGTCGGGCAATCGGCATCTAATCCGTATCTCCGCATTGTCACCAGTGATAAACGAGTTTTAGGTGTTCTGTGGAGTAAGGAAAACAGTAAGCTAAATATCACTAAAGCAACCTATAACATAAAACAATCCACTAAAGGTGATTGGAAAATATGTATGTATGTATATATGTTTAATGACGAAGTTGGTTAAATTTTCTGGTTTGCCGAAGATTTTAAAATAAATTTGCATAATTTTATCTATAAAACATCGTAAGAGTTTGACTATGATATGCTAAAGCCTTGCATTAAAATTTTTTTCCCATAACAATCACAATTAAATCGAATTGAATAGTTTTATGTCGAACAAAAGTATTTCAATTTAAAAAAAAAAAAAAAATTAAATTAAAAAAATTCATATTATTTTTTAACAAAAATTTCTATAGCTAACAACTCTAACTTTTGATGTATTGTAATACTAATGGCATGAGTAAATAATGTCAAAAGCGTGTAAAGTTATCTAAATTCTAAGGTAAAAGGCGATATTTTTAAAAATTATATATAGAAACCGATATCCACATATTTCCTTGTCTGCTAAAAGGCTTTTGGAAATGGATTACCCGCGTCTTGTGAGAAAATAGTGTTTAAAAATTCGAAGCGGTCGAAAAGTGTGCAGTGGGCTATAGCGGACAAAAATTTTGCAAAAAAAATTCCGTGAGTTATTTATATTAATATATTCTGAAAAATTAAAACAAATATGCGGTATTCCTTATCCGCCTCATTTTTTAAATTTCATGATACAATTTTTTGGGCTGAAAACTTGAATTTTTGACATTTAGAAAACTTGAATTCAATATAAAAGAATGAAATAATGCTTAAAGAAAATGAAAAAGCTCTTATTCACATTTTACAGTCTTCGGGAACCTGGGCCCTGGTTTGATCAAAACAGGTTGCCTTGCTCCGTAGTTTGTTCTTTACTAATTTTTCGGCCATTTTATTAAAAAATATCACAAAATCTATGACTGTGGCGTACGTTAAAAAAAAAATGTATGACTTGTGTTTTTTTCTGTGTAAGAAAATTTTTCCCATATTTAGATACAAATTTACAAAAAAATTTAAAGAAATTTTTTTTTATTTTTATTATACGTGTATAAGCGTCAAGTACCGCCCACTGTATATATGGCGAAGTTGGTTCGGTGACATCCACGGTTGTCGTAACTATGTAATGTATAAACCGTGACTTATATCGAAATTGGCCTTAAATTCCGCCATCTGAAAAAAAATCTGAAAAAAATACAAAGCGGCTTACGAGTTCAAACAACTTTCAGTAAAAGCTAAGTGTTGAAAATAGACAAACAAGGAGGTATCTTGGTATAATGAGTAAAAATGCAGGTCCAGTGTCAGAGAATGTTCACTACATTCTAGCCTTTACTCATGTCCACTAAACTAAATATCGAGGTATCAAGAGATTTAACTCGACATATACAATTATTGAGTGTGTTAAGAGCAAAGGAAATTCCTCGACTCTTTGCTGATTGGTAACAAAACCGACCTATTTCTAAAGATACCTAAAACAGAGAGTGAATAGTGCAACAACACTACAATACTTCCGAAATACCATATTCACCAGAAGAAGATGATGCTTTCTGTGCAATGTGTATTTAATGTTAATATTGTCTTTGACCTACTACCAAAAGACCAAATCATTATGGAAATGATGACAGATCCTAAACCTCCTTGACAATCTATCAAAATTAAAATTAGCTTAGGTGGCCAATTGACCGGTCCGAAATGTAAAATAATATGTTCCCCGAACTCGCCACTCAATGAGCCCATTTTTCGCTATCACATACCTCCAACACTTCACAAATATTTCATCCATGGACAAGAGATAACATCTTACGCTCTGTGACCAATCGGACAATCATCAGAAGATGCTCAGGAAGCTCGGTACAAAGATTTTAAGACTTTTAAAGAATATTTTTCTCTCAAATGCAGCAGAAAAAAAGCAAATGAAGGCATATTTAGCAGATTTTCAATCAATTCTAATCCCTTTATACCTACCATAAGAAAATTACCACAAAAAAGTGAAAGATTTATCGGAAGAAGCCTTAGAGATGAGCGCGATGGAAAATGATAATAATAATGAAGTTGATGATGATGATGATAAACGCGAAGATGAGAACTCAAGTGAAGATGATTATGATAATGAATATGATTATGGTGGTGAAGAAGCAGTGTATACATTTTTAATAAAAGCAAATAAATAAAAATTGTTGAAAAGCGATGTTCACCACTTGCCTGTTTTTTATGATTTAAAAAAAATCATTCATTTAACTATATTTCCATTATTTTTTTATTTCTTTTTGATTAATAAACTAAAAAAATTACTTTTCCTCGACAAGAAGGCTTGTGGGAATTGATCTTCCACCAGCGACGTTTTCGTACTTAGAAAAGGCCATATTTTTCCAAAAAGACGAACACCAACGCTACCTACTGAAAGACGCCCTAGTCGAAGTACAACCCCTGAGAATACATAAAACAACATAAAGGGTGTAGTTGAATTAATCGGTTACTGGAGGAGTAAGCTCCCTTGTTTTCTGATGTTGGTTCCAGAGAACTGAAGTGCCTTGATAAATAATACAAAGCTCACAATACACTTACATACATTTTCTCACTGTTGACGGTAAAGTAAATCTTGTTTTCTTTTTCTTTTTGACACCCGAAATTGAATTTGGTATTCTTTGGTTACATTGTTTGATAAGACATTGGCAGCACTGCCAATGCCAGGACGACAAAAAAAAGCTGCATGAAAGCGCTATCTTCCAAATTAAAATGAAGATTTTTTCTCGCAAACTTTTTAAGACACGCATTTTTGTACTCTTTGCACTTTTTTCTTTATCTACAATAAATTTCAAACGTAAATGCAAAAACAACATATTGCTTGTCACCTCCTATTTCGCGAGCAATGAAATTTATAGAGTGACAGTGAACTCAGAATACGAAATAGTAACAAAATTTACTGAATGGTAAATTTTAGTACCGCGGCAGAATAGACCTGTTAAAAGGAATTCAATTCGATTAATTATTTCCTGAAAACTTTTCCACGGCATTGGAGTGTAAAATGAGGAATGCGCTTAATAAACACATGCTATGTATATGGGGGAAATATAATAAAAACCTTTATTTCTCCTAACAAAAATACCGATTTTATAATTTTCATCATCATTGCTTATTTCGGGCATTTAATTTTTAATCTCCTCTTAAATAGTTTTTGGTTGCATTGCTCGCGCTGGATTGAGGCCAGGCTTTTTAAACTGGTAAGCATATTTTCATTGTGGTTTTGGTTTGTCTTAAGTAAGAGAAATATTACTTAAAGCCTTTTATAATCTTTCCTACCTAAATGCTGGAACTCACACTTTTTCATGTAATAAAGCTCAAAAAATGCTAACAACCAAACCCCTTGCATTTTGATCTTTTGACTTATTTTCAAAATATTTAAACCCATAAGAGCTGATACCATAATAATATAAAGCTTTTGTAAAACAAACATTTAATTTTAGGGTGAAACTAATTCAAAAATTGTTTTAACACCAATAGTTTTTCATTGAAATGAACTATTAACAATTAACAATTAAAATGAGAAAAACACTCACGGCACTTTTACAACACACGCTGATACAAAAGCCGCATGTAGCAAAATGCTCAAAAAAGCTTGATAAGAATTCTTTTGTATTTTCATGATTACTTTTTCATAAGTAATTAAAAACACATAAAAATATTCAATCCTTTGAAAAATAATTTAATGAATAATTATTTTTTTCGATTAACACTCCTTTTTTAACAAAATCGCATTGATCGCCTTAAAAAGCCGTTATTTCAAAAAGTAACAGAACTTGCCGCGCTGATATTCGTCGCCGGAATGAATAAATCTCTTTAATTACAGAAATAAATTAATGATAGCCATTTGTAGGCGAACTCAACAACGCACACTGTTGGATGGCAATCATTATCGCCTTATCGGCAAATGATACAAAATAAAAGATGAGGAGCATTGCGCTAAGAAGAACAATTACAAAAATAAATTATTGCAAGTAAATATAAGAAATATGCACCATTTGTGCTAGTGATCTTTTTTTTTTCAAGTTGTATATTAAATACATTGTAAAATGGAAGCAGCCGTCTTGGCGTTACCGTTACAGCAGAGGCTATTAAAATGCACAAAATTCATTGAACTCGGAAAACAATGGAGCAGTGCACCTTTAATACATACATACACGTATGCACATAAATGTATAGAGAAAAGTCATACAAACACACATTTCAATATTTAAATATATGACAAAACATTTTTTAATAATAATAATTTAATAATTTTGCAACTTTTGCTGTATACACTCAGCGATGTTACTAGCCCCGCAATTGATTTTGTCCATCAAAATCGATTCATTTATTTAGTGTCAGATAGATAAAAGGCTACATATAAGTGAATTTCAAGAGTTTGGTATTTTACCTATATAATGTTCAGATATTGCGTTTTTGTGAATAATTTCATTACTAAATTGATAGAACCAGAAATATGTATCAAAATATGCAAAATATTATAGATTGAGCGAGGAGCAAAAAATTTCAATTTGCACAAATTCGGATGGCAATATGTCAAATTGGGAGATTGCAAGGCATGTGGATACAATGAGTCATCTTTACGTCGGTTTTTGATCTCATATCGTGTGACCGGAAACAAGATGGGGCGGAAATACTTTTGAAGACCTTCTGTTTTGAGTATCCGGAATTTATTTCAATGGAAGTGGTTTTTCGTCAATAATCGCAAATTGAAAGAAGAGCTTGTAAGGGGCTCAGAAATAAGTTGTTTAACCCTAACAATACAGGACCAAAATCGTACCGACCTTCAAAAAAAAAAACCGCTCTTGACGGCGAAAAGCTACGTACAAGCTGAAATGGTGCAAAAAACATAAGATTTGGACAGCCGAAGATTTGGAACACGTCATATTTTCAAATTAATTGAAGATAACGTTGATGAGAGTAGACGAGGGCGCCAGAGGCGCAGAAAATGTGGACGCTACAGCGGATAATGCGGATAAAATATGGAGTTAGTTTAATTTCTATACAAGAAAGAACTGTAAATGCAGCAGCGTACAAAGTTAATGTCAAATATTTTGTTGTACCCACATGTCACAACACAACCAAAATATAATTATTTAGGACCATTCAGTACCTTGTAATATTTTCATTCCTTTCTTTTTTATTCATTAAACTTTAAAAGATGAATTGGAAATAAATTCGCAAAAATGGCCTGGAAACAGTCCTAACCTGACCTTTGTAAACACCATTGGTCAGTAATTATGCGAAATACTCCACAGAAAGATCCGAAAACTGTTCCAGAGCTTAGGAAAATCATCGAAGAAGTCTGAAATAGTAGAATCGATGAAAATTACCAAGCAGGCACTTTATAACTCCCTGCCACATTTGCTGAATGACATCATAAAGGCAGGAGACTAGATAAACAAATGATTCACAAATCATACCTGTTTCAGAACCAATAAACAAATGAGCCTTTAAAATGCCACTAATCATTAATTATCAATATTTTAATAAAAAATTTTAACACACGTTACATTTGAGAATTCTATTTTGATTATCCAAAGAGGTACCTTATAATGCATGAATTCGGAAAACCTCATGTATTTTTGGCAATTATATCCCTATACTTATATTTCTTTATCAAATAAGTTTCTTTTTCTGCAAAATTATTCCTAATACAAGTACTAATAAATTGACTCTCAAAGGCAAAATATCAATATTTTTTTGTGGTGCGGCGCTATTAATGTCGCTGAGTGTATTCTAGTGCATATATGGGTTCGTGTTCTAAGATGAAAAAAGTCAGCCTATAATATATATTAAAAACTTATAAGACACTCATAATATATAGTAGCAACTAATCACTTGTCCACGCTGCCGACGTATATATATATATGTATGTACATACTGATATATATAAAATATAAATAAAATCGCAGCCTATTTTAGTTTATCATCATTTGTATGAATGCAAATAAATATGTATGTAATTAGGTATCTATTTCAGTTCCTTTAACTCCGTCACTCCCATACTTGATATAAATGGCGGTCAATGGCAGAATTCAAGGGAAGTTCGAGTGATATTCCAACATAAAGCATGAATGAAAGTACAAATTAAAACAAAAAATGAGCAATTTTTTTTAATGGGGTTGACTGTATTGTGTTGGCACTGCTTACGCGATCATAGCCGAATCAATACTAGCGAGCCACATTTCCATTTGTCTGCGCCACTCGCCGTTACCAACTGTTAGAGGACGGTAAATCTTACGGAAAAACTTTCTTCGAAACTCCTAACGCCGAGATGTTGTCATCATCCACGCATCCGCACCATATAGTGAGGTAGGTACGATGAAGAACTTTTGGGTTTGGGTTTCGTTCGCGGATAAAGAACTTTACTTTTCAATTGCCTACACCTTCCTGTTGGTAGGAATGAGGCTGACATTATTGTTGGACCCCAGATAGACGAAATTATTTACGACCTCAAAGTGGGTGGCAAGTCGTGAATGCGATGACTGCTTGTTTGATTACAGGAGATATATCGTCTCTTCCTCGTCCACTACCTGACCCATTCGCTCCTTTATCTAGTCTGGAGAAAGTGGAACTCACGGCGTGGTAGTTCAGATATCAACATCATCGGCGTACGCCAGCAGCTGTACACTCTTATACAAGACTGTACCTTCTCTATTCAGTTCTGCAGCAATAAATTAAAGAAGTCTCACGATAAGGAGTCGCCATTTCCGAAATCTTGTTCGGTATGGAACGACTCGGAGAGGTTCTTTCCGATCCTGACGTAGCTTTCAGTGCTGCTTAAGGTCAGTTTACACTGTCGTATAAGCTTTGCGAGGATACTAAATTCAGACTGAACGGCATAGAGGCAGCTCTTTCTCGTGCTGTGGAAGTCGACTTTAAAATCGACGAAATCGTATCTATTTTCTCGTGCTTTTTCCAAGATTTGGCGTATGGTGAATATCTGGTCAATGGTTTACTTACCAAGACTAAAGCCACACTGATAAGGTCCAATCAGTTTGTTGACGGTGAGCTTTAGTCTTTCACGCAATACGCTTCACCACGACCTTGTTTGCGATATTAAGGAGGCTTTTCCGACAGCAATTAGCGCAGACTGTGGCAGCGCTCTTTTTGGGGATTAGGCAGAGTACACTTAGGTTCCAATCGCCAGTCATGCTTTTCTTCGGCCAACCGCACTCGCATTGGTATTATTACTGGATGGACAACAACTTGTTTTTTTCAAACCTCAGGATTTCCGCTGCGTTCCGATGAGCCTCAGACTGATGAGGTAAGAGCATCCATAAACATTTTTGGATGTACCATTATATCGCATAAGTTAATCGCTTAGCTATAAAAGCCTTTTTACTTAACTGGATGACGAAATTGCTTGCTGGTCAAAAGTTTAATATAGGATAACCGGCTATTCCGGCAGATGTCACCTTTGAAGTTGTGAATTTTTTGACATTTGATACGTAAAAGCTACGCTTCAGCAACGCAACGAAACTACTAAAACAATCAGTGAGAATGGTGAAAATTTGGCTGCGATTGCTCGTAAAACTGAAACATCTTTCGGTGGTCGGGAAGCACCTTGTCGGACCGCAAGACAGAAATTGGTGGAAAAAAGGAGCAGTTGGGTCAAGGAATTGATGTGAAGAATAAAACACGTGCACATCGCTCACGAACAACTGAGAATATTGCTGTTGTAGCCCAAAGTGCGGAAGAAAACCCAGGCTTGTCCATTCCGCGTCGTTCTTTGGAATTGTATATTCCACAAAAGTCATTACAACGTATTTAACATAAAGTCTTTGGTCTTAAAGCTTATAAAGGTCACACAAGACCTTAAGCCGACCGGGCCGAGCATCTTGGCTGATTGGGTCCTTGAAATGCATGGAAATGATTCGGTGTTTCATCGAAAAATCATCTTGACTGATGAAGCCCATTTCTAATTCAAACAATGTAACCGTGTATCGTTAGGAGCAAAGTTTACGGTCCGTTGTATCACTCGAAGAGGTGATCGCAATTGACCACCGTTATCTTGTGATTTAACACCTTGCAAATTCTTTCTTTGAGGCCGCGAAAGACCTAAAAGAAGGAATTCGTGAAGCTATTGAGAGCATACAACAGCCGCTTTGCGATTTGGTGATGGGAAACTTCATAAAAAATATTCGGTCCTGTAAGTGTAGTCGTAGCGGCCATTTTGCTAAAATTGTTTCCATTATTAATGGCACAGCTTCCTCCTTAAATTAAAATAAACATCCGTTCAATTTTCTTACCAAATGAATATGAATAATGATGAAAAACACCTCTTATTTAAAAAACCCACTGCTAGTATATTTCATCCACTTTCGAAATTTCCTTTACTCAGTGACAAAGGTTATGTTGGTAAAAACACTTTAAATTTTAAACTCATTCCATCGGCCACTTTTTGTGAAAACATATGTATGTAAGTATTGTATATTCAAGTGAAACCCTTTGACGGCCACTGTGTTTTTGTAAGCTTTTTGAAAGCTTTATCTAATATAACTGAATTTCTGAGCTTGAACATTTTTTTTGTATACTTTTTTTCTAGAAGAGATGCTTGTGGATTTATTTAGAATTATGGATAAAAAAAAATCTGATGAAAAAGACTTTAAGCCCTTTAATTTACTAGTTTAAA